GGGGGGGGGGGGGGGCAAGGCTCCCCCTTGCCGAGGTTCATAAGTTTTAACCCTGACGTATGGTGAGCGAGGGTTTAGGGTTCGAAGTTGAGACTTTAGAGCCTATGGGCTTCGTATAGTTCAGGGTTGGAGAGATCGCGTATATTCTGCAAAGAAACCTGCTTCTAGGAGTAGAGGAACAAGAGCCAGCAAACTCAGAACTGAACTCGAGAAACGCTTAACGTGTCTTAACCCCTCGTTGAAGCGACCCACGCAGGGGGCCCTCCCACCTCCATTTCTTCGTCACCCTCCAGCCCGGCTCCCCCTCCTGCAGGTGCCTTCCAGAAGCAAATGCTCGGCTTGATCCCCAAACCCTAAACCCTAAACCCTATATCTTGGTAGCCCGGTAACCGTAGGATATTACAGGCTACCCGTTTTTGGGTTGATGGGCTACAAAGATATCGATCCCAGCTCATAGCATGTTGGTACGAATATGTAAGTTAAACATGCATACCAGAATGGGTTTAGGGTTTAGGGTTTAGGGTTTTGGGTTGGTCGTGGAGAGGGTGTGGTGTGATGGGGAGGGGATCTCTCACGCAAGTTTGGGACATGATCCCTGATCTGAGAGGAGTGAAAACCCGGAACCCGAAGCCCGTAAACCATGCCCTCTGCTTCCAAGCCCAGACTCTCCCCCTCATCAGCTAAACCCTCAACCCTAAATCCCCCCCCCCCAAAAAAACAAAAACTGAGAACCCGAACTCCCCCCCCCCTCCCCCCCCCCCCCCCCCCCCCCCCCCCCCCCCCCCCCCCCCCCCCCCCCCCCCCCCCCCCCCCCCCCCCCCCACCCCCCCCCCCCACACCGCCCAAGCCACCCATATTAAGAAGACACACCGTTTTCCTAAAAATTAAGGGGCCCCCCCCCCCCCCCCCCCCCCCCCCGGTAAGGAAGCCTTCCGTAAACCCTAGACCCTAAATCCCAAACAGGAACGAACCCATCCCGCGAAGGGGAGTCCCTGTCCCCCCAGACCGACGCCTGAAGCCTCACAGGTGGCTTCGGTCATCAAGCCCCTCCAAAACACCCTACAAAACCTTAAGTTGGAACCCCTGTTGGCTCTCCTAAACCCTAAACCCCTCGACTCCCAAGGTCTTGGGGGGGGGGGGGGGCTTGAGGGCGCAGCCTTTGCCTTGCTTTTCGACCCAGAAGCGCTCTCACCTACATGGGGGCTGTGGGGGGGATGTCATGGTAGAATGCCCTGGGAGCAGGAATGAACCCTACAATTGAGGGGGACATATTTTACACTGCTACTGAAAATTCCGATTAAGGTACATGAACCATTAAACCTTTTTAGGGCTGATGTGGCTCCGAAAGGCTACCTGTGCAGGTCTTAGCTACGGTGCTGGGACACTTTGTCAGCTTGTCTGCTTCAGCCACACAGCTCAAAAGCCTAAACCTTTTTCGGACCCCCGAATCCCTCCAGCATCTCTCATCACTGAACATGTCGCACTCACTGGTGTGGGGGGGTTCAATCTGCAGATGTGGCCTGGGGCCACATGGAGTGAGGCTGCAGAGGGAGGGGGCTCGAGGAAGTCACCAGGGAACAAACCCAGCAAGTTCTAGGAGATCTTTTACAGGGGCCTCATTAAGTAGAATAGAGTTCTGGAAGTTATAAGAGTATAATCATAAAGGGACCATAGGGAATGCCATTAGTGATTATTCCGACCCCTGTAGTAATCCTGGAGGTTGGGTGTGATGGCGCTGGGTAAGTTCAGACCCCGTCAGCTTTCTGGACTCATCCTTTTTGGGCGTGCAGTCTTCGCAGTCAGCTCTTCCTCATTTATGGGATAGGCAAGGAGTCCGGTTGCGGCCTTGCCATTGTACGCCTCTCACCCAAGAATGGGAACCCACAGCATTACGTCAAAGGCACGACTCGGTCCGTGTGGAGACAGGTGTTGGTGCCTGGGGGGGGGCGTTCGTGCCCCGCAACTCAGCTACTGCCAAGCAAGGTATGCCCGAAACCCTAAACCCTAAACCCTATACCCTAAACCCTATGTTGGGGAGCAGGTCTGCGAGACTCAGCAGCGTCAAGCAAGTCCTGGAGAACGGACCGTGCCATGTCTTCCACCACCACGCGTGCAAAGCGCCTCAGCAAGGAGGGCACGGGGAATCCTGGAACTGCCTCTGTGTACAGAAGCACGACGGACTCTTCTCTGCTCGTGGGGACCACTTGCCAGAAACCGGCAAAGTGCTTCATCGCACCCCGTGCTTTTTGCCGAAAGGATGCCTTGTAGTTCTGCCAGTCTTCCAGAACTGTCACGTTGGATTCGAAAGAGAAGGGGATCCCCAAGAGTCGCCAACGACCGACTCTGCTGACCTCGACCAATTTTTCGTGTCCTTTCTCGCCCAGAATCCTGCGTTTGTTGCAAGAATGCATGTGCTGGGAGAAGACTTCTTCGCTTTTCTCGGCATCCGTTAGCCAAGTGAACACCTTCAGTGCGCCCTGCGACAGGCGGAGCGCACCCGACACGGCAAAAAGACCACTGTGCTCTCCGGCACGCATGCTTTGCACACTTGGCTCATCACCGGAAACATTGCTGTACATAGTCAGCAACTCTGTCGGGCTTGTCTTGTCCTTGAGCTTGAGCTCGAAGAAGTCCCCATCCACCAAGCTCCCTCTCGAAGGTGAGGGCCAGAGGATCGCAAGGCCCGCAAGGGAAGCCGAGAAGATCCAGTAGCTCAGGCAGAGCAGCGAGTGGCCCAGGAAGCCATCGCACCGCCTTGTGCGCGTCCGCCACTTAGCAGGCATGCTAACCAGCAGAACCAAGTCTAAGTGGGGCTGCTTGACGTGAAGACTCAGGGTGTCCTTTGCTAGTACTTTCCAGGACATATATACGATGCCGATCGCAGTTGGCTTAGGAAGATGGGCAAGGCCTTAAAATGATGAGCTTGCTCAACCTTGAGATGATGGCTGGGATTCAATTATGTTCGGCATCCTATCGTGGCTGCTTCTGATAGCTTCAGGCCGAGAGATGGGCTGAGAACTGCCGTTCTGTCTGATGTCCATACCTTGCCTGCGTCGACGAACAAGTGGACAGTTTCAGAGGTTCGAGAGTCCCCCAAACAAAACCTTCAAGTCCTAGCCTATCTCCAACTCCCCCCCCCCCCCCCCCCCCCCCGCCCCTCAGATTTAGGACGGAGAGAGGTCAGGCACTGACAGGCCGTTTATCACTGGTGCCAAATGCCTCACCCGCCTTGCAAGGGATGTAGCCGGGATGCCTAACCCACCAAACCCTAAAGGCCTAAACTCAGAACCCACCCTGCTCTTCTTTTTTGGCCTGCCTTCAGTAGCTGGACGTAGCCAGCCCAGCAAGCGCCAAAGGAGTTCTGCAAGGTTACTTGATATCAAGGGTAGGCTCGCCCTTTACCACTCCGGCAGCCCCAAAACTCAACATCCAGGTCAAGACACTTAAGACACCTAAACACCATGAAAAAGTCCTGGGAAGGCCTCAGAATAAAGTGGATGTCCATGGCATTTCTGCTTTCGGCCCTTGCTGGCTGGGTCCATGTCGAACGTCTTGTTCGACAGGGCAATATGCACGGCAAAGCCAAGGTCCAAGCAGAGTCGAAAGCCCTTCAAGTCAGAACTCCTCTTTGCTAGGGCATTTAGGTGTTTGAGGTTCCGGCATAGGTTTCTGGAAGGGTTCTCGGACACAACCTGAATTTCTGCTCTCTGGCGCTAGCTGCCGCTAGCTCGAGTTCCTGGAGAGCATGGCACGGTCGTCCAGCGGCGGGAGGGCGTGCCTTGTGTCGAGTCTGAGAGTGCCTTCAACCTTCAACCAAAGCTTAGCATCCGAAGGTGTCCCAAGCCACCAGTTTAGGCGAGAGTCTGCGAGGAGGGATCTCTGGCAGAGATGGCCTCCATCGTCGAGTCCTTCAGGTGTTCAGGTGTGCTTTTGGACTCTGCTGAGAGGCTGAACGCCCACGCGGGCTCCTTCAAGCTGCATTTCAAGTACTCTTATAGTCTTTATAGTGTCATGTTATCAATTCAAATGTCTGCGGGACCTGGCGAGAGCCAAAATCTACAACCTTGAGGCCTTTGCAGCCAAAGTCCCTTTTCGGGCCACCTGCAATTCACCCCGTTGCCCTCGATCTTTCAACAAGCTGGGCAAAAGATCACCTGCGGGCCGAAGTATGTGCTACTCACCTGTGCAAGATAGCGGAAAACCTGGATACTAAATGAACCCGAAAAAACTGGAATCATATGCCACATGCTACGTACTATACTAAATCCTGAGACATGTTTCAGGACCGAAAACCACAGGGTTCATTCAGTCAGTATAAAGAAGGCACCTGCAACCCTACACTTCAGCTTTCGAGGGCCCCCTAGTTTTCCCCCTCCTGTGCTAACCCCCCTCCTCTATCCTGCAAGTAGTAAAACATACGAGTATCTGCACAAAAAGAGACAACATGTGTATGTATACATATACATTTTAAGACCGTGTGCACATTCCTCTGGCCTCGAGGCCCAGCCAGCAACAACTTAAACCTTAACAGCCCCCCCCCACAAGGCCTCCTCCGGCCCAACCTTTGCCGCTAAGCGTTGGAGGATCTCAGGTTTCACCTGGCTTTCAGCTTTGGGGGGGTGAGGGGGGGGGGGGGACCTTTGAGAGGAGAGAGTGGAACTGCCACGCGCCAAGCAGACTAGCCAAGGTCTTTCAAGGGTTGCCACTTCTTTGGGGGGCGTTGGGGGGAGTCTAGGGCTCCCACAGTTTCCAAAAAGGGGACCCCTGGAATCCCGTTCTGCACGTTCCCCTCCTCTCTGGGTTTAAGCTTCAGGGTTTAGGGTAACCCTAAACCCTTAAACCCTTAAACCCTTAACCCCTAACTAAACCCTTAAACCCTCCAACCCTTTAAAGCCTTAAATCCTTAAACCCTCCGCCGAAGCGACCCTGGCACGCCACTCATCAGGAAGGATCCTCACGATGAACTTCACCTCGGCAGAGCTGGGGCGGAGGGGGATCTGGGGGAGTTATCCTGGAACCCTAAACCCTAAACCCTAAACCCTAAACCCTAAACCCTAAACCCTAAACTCTCCAAGGTTGCACCCTTGGGTTTTGGGGACCTTTCTTCAAGATGCCTAGTAGGGTCGTAAGGATCTAGGGGATTTACCCTCCAAGGTTGCACCCCTTGGGTTTTGGGGACCCTTCTTGAAGATCCTACTAAGGTAGTAAAAGGGCGAATTTGCAGATGGGGGCCCGTGCAAGGGCTTGTAGGGTTTTGGATCCGGGGGGTGGGTGGATCCCTTTGCTCCGACATGATGCAAAACCAACAAGGGCCTTTGAGATGTAAGGCCCAACGCCTTAAAACCCCCCATGAACCTCCCTTTAAGCCCGACACATATCCGAAACCGCCTGTCGTGGGCCCAAGGACACCCTCTCCCCCCCTGACTCAACCACCACGCTTCATCAAGGGGGCATACTCCATGAGCTCCTTTCTCAGGGCTTCAGCTTCGGCGTGCTTGCGGTCGGCCATGCGCTTTCCTGAGCAGCCACCATTTAAGTCATTTAAGTAAACCCTCAACGGCCTTGGTGGAGTGTGCCATGCAAGAGAAGCCTCCAGAAGCTAGAGTTCCAGGCGTGTCGCACCCTGAAGCTCTGTCTCTTGCGGCCCTTTTGCTATGAGGCCCAAGTGGCGAAGCCTCCGCAATTCATCCTGGCAAGCCGCGGTGTGTGCGCTGGGCACTTTGATAAGGGCCAAGTGGCCAAGGGGCTCGTGGGAACACGAAAGCTGCAAAAGCCCTAAGCCCGAGCGCCAAGCCCCTCAAGTGCCGGGAGCTTGACATCAACAAAAACAGAAGGAGAATCACGTCGGAACCAATCCTCAACCCTACCTCTGTGATAAGGAAGCATATGTATATATACATATATATATATATATATACAAAAAATATTTTATAAAGAAGTATACATTTATGTAGGGTACCTGCTTCCCCCATGTCGGAAGCCAAAAACATACGCAAAAAAGGTGCTTCCCCTCCCCCCCCCCCCCTTCCCAACCCATAGCCCCCATTCCCCCCACCTCCAGGAACTCTGCCTTCTCACGGGCCCGCTTCAAATCTTCGGCCCGCTCCGCGACTTGCAGCCTGCGCGAAGATGTGGCTCATGGGGGAACGAAGGAGGGGCCGTTGGGGACGCCAAGATCATCCCCTTCTACACGGGGTTTTAAGGGGCTCTTGGGCCGGGGGGTGGGGGGGGGGTTAGGGTTAGCGAAAGTGCTTAGGGTCAGGCTGCTTCTGCAAGTTCGCCCATGAAGTCAGGCATGGTGGAAGTGCTTGAGATTCTGCCGCTGGTTTTAGGGGCCCCGTGCTTGAGGGGTGCCCATGTGTGTAAGAGCCTCAAATCCCCCTTATAACCCCCGCTTTTTTTGAAGCCGCTCAGTGGAACAACGGAATCAAAGAACCCCACAGGGTGTGGGGATACTTCTCAAGCCCTGCAGAAGGCCTGACTTTCATGTCTTCGATTTCGAAGCGGAGCCCCTTCTCGATCTCTTGCAACCTTTGCGTGGCGCACCCCCGCAATGCTTGGGGGGATGAGGCTGTCGCTGTTGCTCACATGCTTTCGTAGGGTCTTGAAAGTAAGCCCTGAACGAGTTTGGGGTGCAGGTCTGCGGATAAAATTTGAATTCCCAGTCCTCACAACTTGCAGCTCTTGGCCACAAACCTGGCCCACCACATGAGCTCGGTCCTGAAGCCTTTATCCCCCCAGCCCAAAAGCAAGTTTCAGAGGCCCAAAGGAACACAAGACCTGAAGAATCCTGTAATAACTCGAAGACCGATTGCCTCAGAGGGTTCAAGGGTTCTGGTCACCCCGAACGAATCTCGAGGAGCCGTGTGATTTCGCCTTCGGCGATCTTGAGGTGGCGCTCGGATCGCAAAGCCTGCTCCTTTTGCTAGGAAGGTTTGCGGGCTCATCGCTAGTTTAATAAAGACAGTCTTCATACACACACATATGTACATATACGTACATGAATACTTCTGCAAAACAAAGAACTATTTCCACGTATCCATAAGGTGAGTCTCAACATCCCCAAAAACCCTCAAAAAAATCGCTGCGTTCCTCCTGGGGCCCTCTCCTCGGTCGTCCTCTGCAGCTTGTCCATCTCGGCCACCTTCTTCTCATGGGCCACCTGCATCTCGGCGATTCCTGGGCTTGGGAGTCAAGCGTAGAATTGGTCTCGGGATAAGGTAGGTAGCTGAGGGTAGCTTAAGGAGATCCCACCCCCTCCCCCCCCGATCTTTGCGAGAAGTACACGCTCTGCTCACCCCTAAACCTTAAACTCAAAACCCTTAACCCTAAACTCCAAACCCTAAACCCCCATCCCTGCTCGCCCGGTTATCACCCAAAGCGGCTGCTTTCGTACTCTTCGGTGGTGTCCGCCAGCTTCTTCTCGATGGCCGCCATCTTCTCGTCCATCTCCTTCCTTTGTCTGGCGGTCTGCTCCTCGGCATTCACAGGCTGAGGATATGCTCCATTACACACCCTTTCACATGACATATGCAACCACCATATCAAGCCCCCCTCCCCCCACCTCAAGAGGAGCCAAGAAGCAACGACCCAAAAACATCAAATGCCCAAGCGGCCCTCTCTTGCTCCATCTGCGAGATGAACTTGCGCTTCCGGCGCTCGAAGAGCGCCTGCGGACAAGGGCTACACTTCTTGGTGCGGGCGATGAAGGGCCTTCTGATTCCATGTCTTCTTCGGGTCAGGCGAAGAACCTGGATTGGGAGCTCACAACTCCTAAGATGGCCGCCGACGGGTGTCTGAACTCAACCGAAAAGCGATCCTCACCGAAAAAAAGGCAGACGCCTCTGCCACCGGAAGATCGCTTGATTAGGACCTCTGGTTTTCGTGGGCGTGCTTTCGACATGGAAACCCTGGCCACCCTGGCCTGCATCACGATCACGCCTGCCCGAATCTTGGCAATCTCCACCTGTCAGCCGGCGTTAGCTCCCATGTCGTCTCTTTGCCATTGACTGGCTAGATGGCTGGACGCCAGTGAAATAGTCCGGAAACTGTGTTGGGGCGTGTGCTGCTAAGGCGAAGCCCATTTAGGGACTGCTTCTAACCCTTGGAACCCGAAACTTGGAGAATCCTAGTAATGACGCGTTTAGGGTTTAGGGGGTAAACCCTAAACCGATGTGCCTACTTTATTGGGGATGACAGCTTTGGCTTCGAAACCCAAATGTTACCTGCATGAACCCCAAGACTCCCCTGACCGCCAAAAGATCGAAAGGATGTCTTGGCCGGGCTCGGCCGCGGCGCCTTCTTCCGCTTGAACCACTCGTTTCGATCCGCCTGGCCAAGAGAAGGCCCTAAACCCTAAACCTAAACCCTAAACCCTGAACCCTCTTAAACCCTAAGCCGGGGAGTTACTCAGCTCGGGCATGTGCCTGGGCAGGGTGAAAGTGCAAACTTCTCTAGGAGCCGGGGTGTTTAGTATGGAAAATGCACAGAAGACTTTCTGATTTGGTATGGAGAACGCACGATTACAATTGTCATAATGACCATATCATTAAAAGACAGAAAAGCATATCCATGGGGGTGCGGGGGGGGGGGGGGCGTGGCTGCCCGGGACCATATATATATATATATACATATACATATAACATAAGACGTTTCTGCATCGGGCCGCCTCCGCTGCTTCGATCTGCTTCTCGCACCTTTGGGCGGGACAGCAAAGTTCAACGTACGCAGCCGCCTGACTCACCAATGAAAGTGCAACGTCGCAAGCCGCGCAGCAGGCATGTACACCAACATACATACGTACCTACATACATACATACATACATACATACATATGTACGACATACATGTACATTATATACACGCCCCTGGGATTTCAATCTCCCACAGCATTCCCCCAGACCTCCCTAGAGAGGGGGCCCCTTGCACCATCCCCAGACCTAAACAGCCCGGGGGCTGGAGCTCCGTGTCGGCAATCTTTCGGGCGTAGGCCTGTCAAGATGTCTGGCTGAGGCTCAGGGCTTTAGGGTTTTAGGGCTCGGTCTCATTGGCCTCGGATGTTCGGTGCGTTCGCAGCTATCGGTGCCGGAAGCTGAAGCATAGCAAAAAAGACTGCCAAAACGAATTTCGAACTCAGGGCCCCTACTTGAGTACCTATAAGCGCCGGTAGAATGTAGTGCTAGCCTGAGCGAAGTGCGAGGAGCCGGCCATCTCAGCCCTAAAGGTAAGCCCTCCAGTCCCTGGTCCAGGTGTTGAATGCCGCGAACATCGCACCGTAAGAGGAAAAGAGATAAGCAAAGATATCCCCCCCCCCCCACACACAAAAATTGTGGGGCATGACGCAGGTCACTTTTGATGCATAAGGGCACCTCTTGGTGCTCTCTCATTTTCTTCATTGCACGGACCCTCAGTATGTAACTTAAATGTATGCATACACACATATGTATATATATATATACATACATATATACACATGCCGAAATTCGAAATTGTAAGTGTACTTTTGAGGGTCCCCCCGAACAGGAAGAAGGACCGTACTGTAGAGGACTACTCAAACACGGACAGGTCTACTATTGGTCTACATAGGTCTGCCTCCCGCAAGCTTTGGAGCTCGAGCTCCAAGTGCTTCTTCCTGGGGCTCTTGAAGCATCTGATAAAGGGGGGAGGGTATGTTTACAAGTTTACCTTCTTGGGGCGTTTGTCGATGTGTTTTCGAAGGAGAGGGCGAGAGAGAAAGAGCGAGAGGGAGAGAAAGAGAGAGAGAGAGAGAGAGCGAGAGAGAGAGAGAGAGAGCGAGAGAGCGAGCGAGAGAGAGCGGCCGTTTCTCATGGCTTCGGGCGTCGGACATTTAGATCAACCCTTATGCCGGCTTTGGCCTTTCGGGGTTTAGGCGCTTGCGTTGGTTTCGGCTGATGCCACGCGCATCGCAAAACAGGTTGCCTCACCGGGCATTGCTGCTGAGCAATTGCGAGGTTCAGTGTCCTGCTTTGGTACAAGTCGAGTGGGTATGTTGACTCAGCCACTTGGAACCGTAGAAGCTACAACCCGAAGCCCTAAGCCCTAACTTCTTTGACTGCCCCTTGCTGGCAGAACTCTGACAAGCACCCAAAGTACTTGAGTTGAACATCTGAAGCTTCAAGCGTGCCCCTGCTCTGCCACGCGTCTCCATCGTGGTCCACAGGGAGCTCCGTGCGATGTGGGGAGTGGGGCGCGCAGTGGCCGGCGCCACTTTCGCCGGTGACCTCGCACGATCCATGCTTTCCACCTTGTGTTGCCATCGGCTCTTCCCCACGAAACCCTTCAAAGAAAGGATGTTGCCCTTAGAATTCCCCTTATGCTTGAAGCTCTCAGTGAGCCTTCAGGGTCATGGTTGGGCTCACTGACAATAAAGAAGGCCTCCAGGTCTGGGCCCCCCGACGTCGCAGCCAAAGACGAAGCTGTTTGTTTATTGTGAGGATACTGACACCCGCTCATCATCTCCTGTGCGGCCAAGATGCATGGGCAGCCGCCGCCGGGCATTGGCATGCAGTGCCAGCCGCTGTGTTGCCTTGTGCTGTGGTCGCCAACTGAAGCGATAGACGCCTAGATTTCCTCTCCACTCGCCATCAGCTTCCAAAGTACCTTCCCCAACAATGGAAGAGAAACTCGCCTTGCCCCCCCCCCCCCCCCCCCCCCAAACCAATCCCCGAACCTCTTGCAGACCAACCCTAAGCCCTCTTGAAAAAAGCCGAGCGGCATTGGAGCGCGGGGATGGTGGTGGCGCTGCTTGTGGGTCCATGGCTTCAATGCCAAGGCTCAGGAGTTTCTCTGCTGGGCATTTCAGGAATTGAAGGTTTAGGGTCTGCAGGGTTGCTGTTTGCTTGAGGAGGTTCAGGGTTTAGGGGGGGTCAGGGTGAAGTGGGCAGTTTACGGCTTTCGAGGTTTAGGTCGCTTGGTAAGCTCAAAGACGGTGGGAGGCTTGCGGCTTGCATCTTTCACTCGGGTCATCACATGTCTTTCGCCATAAGCCTGAGCCGAAAAGCTTCCAAGAAGGAATGACTATCCCAAGCCTCGGGTGACATGGCCTTTCTATACAGGGTCTCGTCAGGCACGTGTATGTGCACTCGTTCGCACACTCCAGCATACGCGCGCACAAAAACATCACTGTGATATGATACATGCATACCTACATATGTATATATATATGTATGTACGTATGTGTGTATGTATGTGTTTTCCCCCTCAACATGATATACACACATATGACTGAAAAATATATATATATATATATAGATCAATCTGTCTTTCAGAGAAACAAAGAAGCTCTCTCTGTCTTGCAGAGAAACAAAGAGGGCCAAAGCCCAAGGCAGAAGCCCTGAGCCTGCTTGAGCTGCCAGGTCGTCGGCCATTCCTTTGGCTTTTCTGGCCTGGCTCTTCTTCGAGGTTGGCCCTTGAAAGTACCACAAAAAAGAACTCTTCAGCATGATGCATGATCCTCCTCTCCGGAGCGCTCTTACAGTCCCAATGCCCCAAGAAACAAAGGGATTACAGTAGGTTGCGAGTTGCGGGCTCAGGGAGGAGAGTCTTAGTGCTTAACCTAGAGTTTATAGGGGCCAGAAAGCCCTATAAATCCCTGAAAGGGCCTCCCGAAAATCCAAGGCCCGCGCGCCCTACAGAATATCCCAGAGCCTGAAATGCCATCTTCATGCTTGAAGTCATGAGCTCACCTGCCGAAGCTTGCGTTTTTAGGCTTTAGGGTTTAGAGCTTCGGGTTTCTGATTTAGGGGTTAGAGGCTTTTGTCCCTGGGACCAGAGTGCTGCTGCTAGGATTTGGGGAGGCTTCAAGGTGCACTTTCGCTCGGACGCCAAGATGAGCCTCAAGGGTTCTTTATAAGGCTTCATAAGGGATCCTAGGGCGGTTTAGAGGGCTTGGGGGCTACAAGTTTGTTGCTCAGGGATGCCCCCCTTGCAGAAGCCCGCCTCCCCCCTTGTGGAGCCAACATTTATCATAGTTTCAAAGCCAACAAGCAAAACCCAAACCCCAACAACACCCCCTTCTGTGAGAGTGAGAAGGAAAGAGAGAAAAACAAGTCGCCCATGTGCGCGCCTCGGTTGCTCGGCTTACAGGGGGGGCGCTGGGAGGGGGAATCTGCGGATCTGCTCACAGCCTCTCCTACGGCGAAGCGGCTGGGAATTGTCTGCCTTTGGCGAGGAATTTTGAGCAACGAGAGCTTACTGAAACCTGACTTGAGCTTCAGGCAGATGACACAAACAAAAAGGCAAGAACATCTAGCTGCTAGCTGGCAGTCATGGGGCTTCATGTCCCCGTCTGGAGCCGGGTTGACGGAGTTCGCTCATCACCGTTCGCGTTTGTGGGTTAAGGGGAGAAGTCCGCCGGAGCAAGAGCACCCCCTGAAAAAACCTGAATTTGGCTTATCCCACAAATAATCCATCATATTCACCAACATCAACACCAACGAATTCTCCTGAAACCAGGAACCACGGGGCGGTCTGATCGGATTCCTGCCAAGCTAAAGAGGCCTTTTTCAGAGAAGATCAGCTCCCAAATTCTTTTGTGGCAGTCCCTCCTTGGGGCTTAGGGGGGTTTAGGGGTTTATAGGGGTTTATAGGGGATTATAGGGGATTCTAGGGGCTTATAGGGGATTATAGGGGTTTGTAGGGGATTTCAGGGGTTTAGGGGTTTAGGGTTTTTTTTGCCGGCAGGTTGTCATTTTGGCGCGAGGGCTTTTCGACCGGAACGCATGAGGTCACGAACTTGCTGAGCCAGAAAGGTCAATGGAACTCTTGACACCATTCTGACATGAACTCTCCTCTGAACCCTGGACCCTAGACCCTAGACCCTAAACCCTAAGCCCTATAGACCCTAAACCCTAAACCCTAAACCCTAAACCCTAAACCCTAAACCCTAAACCCTGAACCCTGAACCCTAAAACCTAAACCCCGATCAAGCACTGAAGGCGTTCCCTAGTCATCGGTTGCCCTGTAGGGGGGGGGGGGGGGGGGGGACCCGGGACGTGGAGTATCAACAATACAGAAGATCATTGGGAAAACGAAGACAGCAATGACATGAAGGATATGGAGAGATACATATATACATAATATAAATATAAAGATAAATGAATAAATAAATAAATGAATAAATATATATATATATATTAATATGTATATGTATATGTGCATATGTTTATGTAAATATATATATATATATATATACAAGAAATCCCAAAGTAACAAGAGGAAGGAAAGTGATGGAGCTCAGGTGTCCAGGGCTTGGTTCTGAGCTGGGCCTTGTATGACCTGGAAGGATACACATTCCACTTTAAGCCTGATGAGGCCTACGTACCTCAAGAAGCCCCCGAACCCCCACACTCCATTCCTTGCAGTGTTTTTCACCAACCTTTTAAGCCCTAAACCCTAAACCCTAAACCCTAAACCCTAAACCCTAAACCCTAGGGAATCTTCGGGCTCTGAGAAGCCGATAAGCCGAAGAGCCACCGGTGCCCTGTGATCCCTTCTGTCACCTCTCTGGGCTTTCTCCAAAGGAGTATGTGCGCTGACGGAGGCAGTGTCGAGCGTGAGTCTTCTTTTTCCCTTGAGGCGCAAGGCCATGAGCCTCAATCCTAAACCCTAAACCACGAATTAAACTCTAAAGCCTAAACCCCTAAACCCGACTAGGGTCTATAGAACTTAGGCCTATCTACAGTCTTGCAAGGGCTATTGCCCTTTGCAAGTGCGAAAGCGCTTCTACCCCAAAGCCCTTCAACAACAGCAACCACCCGGAAGCTCTCAAACCCTAAATAAACCCAGCGCTTCCTAGTACCAAGCTCTATCTGGGGCTTCTCTTTTGGGGGCTGAAGGCTCAGGGTTCCGGATTGATGAACATACCAAACCTGGTGTTCTGCGCTTTGCGGACTCGGGTCTTATGTAGAAGGCCTCGCTCGCGTCTGAGGTGTAGCATCCCCTCCCCCTAAGCCTGGACCTTCATCCTGCACATGCAGAGTCGCAACCCCTCCTACGTGAACTGCAGAAAGCCCGAAACCTCAGGCTTGCATGGGGATTGAGGTGCTAGATTCTGCCAGATTCTACTCTAGTTACCAGCTGGCAGGGGGAAGGCCTCAACAAAAACTGAAAACGTCTCAACCTGAAAACCTGCTGAACCCCGTGGAAAGGTCTCCCTCGGCAGGAGGTGTAAGCTGAGATTCCGCGTACATGGACCGCTCACGTCAGTGTGCCCGGCATTCATATTAACCCCCCTTTAGGGTATCCAATGGTATCCACTTGCAATTCTATGAGCAAGACAAGTGTCAGGGCCGCTCTTGGGAATTTGGATTTTGGAGGTTTTGGAATCGGACTCCACCAAGGGTCAAGGGCCTCTCACATGCGAATGAAGGGTTTTGTGAGGTCCTTTGGGTGACTGGCTTCCGGCTGTGGAGCGTTCCATGCAGGGGGCGTCAGAGCCGCGAGAAGGGGTGGCGAAGTCATCCTCGCAATCGCACCGTACGAGCGAGTTTACGTTATACTCGAGGCATTTTCCTCTCATCGTTGGTCCCTATGTTCCACAAACAGTGCTTGCACTGGCACTACGGAGACGCCTTGAATTCGCAGCTTGGGGGTTCAGGCTCCGAAGGATTCAACATGCCCAGATCCTATTCTAGGCTACGTACCTGCTTTCTCAGACTCCCCATGCCTCGAACGCAAGCACCCTAAACCCTAAACCCTAAACCCACAACCCCAAACGCTGCTTTATAAAAGCCTTGTGCCAGTCTCCTCCGCCGCAGCGCACGCTCTCTGCGTGTTTACCTTTCGGCGGCCCTGTTTTCTTCGATGTTCCAGGGGTGGAGAGGCTGGTTTTGGGGGTCACGAGCTGTGGAAGGCTTGGGGAATTTGTTTGTGAAGGTTTGGGTGGTTTAGAACGGTTATGTCTTTACATACAGGTACTATCCCGTGGCTACGTGATTTAGGGCAACCGACGTACTCTTGTTGGGTTGCGATGTTCTCCAAACCCAACCCCACTCGGGTTCAGCACCCAACAACAATCCCATAACCCCTATGAAGGCGACAAAAGGTTTTGAGGGTTGGAGAGAGCCCAAGCCCCGTGAATTTGAAAGCCCCCAAAAGCCCTAAAATGGAGGGGATCAAGGCTCAACCCGAAGGCCCCCAAGGACCTTCATGGGGTTTGGGGGGGGGGGGGGGGCGAACCCTCATGGAAACCATGGACAACCACAAATGAACTCCACCCCCGAAACAAGCCCACGCAATCCCCTTTTGTCCATCTTGCGGGCATTGATCTAAATTTATGGGTCCTTTTTTCGGTACCCCAAAGAGGGCTCATGCATTTTAGTCAGCTGAATACTGCCCAATCTTTCGAGGCCCGACATCTGCAATCCCAAGACCGATAAATCCGAAACCCGAGACCATAAACACTACAAAGCTCAAACCTTAGAAAGCCTAGATCATGTAACCCTGGAGCCCCTAAATCCGAAAGTCTGTAAGCCCAAAAAACCGATAATCCCCTATAGTCCTAAAAGACCAAAAGACCCGATAAACCCTTTTCGAACCCAGACTCTTGGCCTAGAACCCTCAACCTCAACCCAAACACCAAATTCCCAAATCCTACACCCGCCCTAAACCCTATAGACCCTAGATCCACTACAACCGCCATAAAGGCCCCCCAAAGAATCGAAGGCCCCCGAGCAAGGCCTGGAGCCCGACCGCGAGCGGGATCCTGAGGCACGCCGCCGCCTGGAACAAGCCAAAAGTTGGGGCTCTCTTTGGGCTTCTGGGGGTTTAGGTTCTCGGGCTTGTTTCGAGGGACTTTTTTGCGATACAGTTTCAGGGCTGTAGGATTTGGGGGCGTCTGGAGGACTTTGTAAGGCTGTTGTAGGGTATCTCATGGGCTGTAGGGACGCCTTGTCTTTTTGCTCCAACACCTCCGCCACATCTGCCGAGGAATCTCCGTCCTTCAGTCGGGCCACAAGGCCATTTAATACCTCACTTTTCTGTTCCGGACAAAACTTTGCGGACGTGTAGGCCATGACAAAGAGGCCACTTGTTTCGAGTCTTTGTTGACTTTCACACGGTGTTTCTGCTGGTCGAAGCTCTCCAGAAACGAGAGCGCTGTCTTGACCTCATTCTCTGTTGGGGCATCTTTGGTCAAGAAGGCTCGGAATTGTTGCGAGCCAACTTCTTGTTGCTTCCTGACCTCCGCAGGGGGAGTGGCAACCTTTGCTGCTTTCTTGGGCGCAGAGGATCCGCCGAGGCCGCGCCCACGTTCTAGCCACTTTCGCCCAACTCCGTGTTCTGCACGAATGCTCGGACCTCCACTGTGAGGTGCTGGAGATTCTTCGCCAGCTCAGTGGCCCATTTCTCACGGTGAGTCGACAAGGCGTTCGCCTGGCAGCTTATAAGGTAGCCTTCTTGGCGCATCCTTAACCGCCCTGTGAAAGAGAATTTGGAGTCCAAGTTCAAAAGCTGCCGCGACATTTTGGGGCGCCAGAAAACCAGAGAGAACTGGGCTCAGGGCTTTTTGACAAACGCAGACGCCTTTGTCATCGAGGCCAAGCGTTGCCCAAGCTTCAATAAGCTCAGCTTGCGTGTAGTAGTGCGACATGGAGGCGGTCTGCCATCTTGAGGTAAGGCATGGCACTCATTCTTGTTGCGCTTGCAACATGCAGGAGGTGAGTTGCGTCAAAAGGGCTTTAGGGGCCTTAGGGTTTAAGGCTTAAGGAGTTTGGGGTGTTGAAGGAGTTTGGGGCTGTAGTACCTGCCTAAGAGATTTGTACCCGATGCCACGATTTGCAAACCCTTCTCCCCGCCCCCGTCGCTGAGGATCGTGGAAAGCTATGTTCAACCCGATCAAGAAGCAATAGAGAGCCTTCTGCCAAGCTGGCTGGGGCGCCTTTAAGGACGCAACAACCTCCGGAAGCCTATATCCCGAAAAGCCCCACATAAAGGTCCCCAATAAACTCAACAGCCCTCTGCAAACCCTACTGTAGGCCCCAGCGAATGTAATCCTGCTTAAAACCCCCATATAAACCCTGTAACCCGCACAAAACTGCCCGACAGGACCCAGGGCCTATCCCGACTCCGGTCTCTTCTGACGCGCGACCTCGTAGCAGAGATTCTGGCAGCTCAGAGGTATTCAGAGGTCGGGCAAAAGCAGCTCAGATGCTCTACGGGCCAACGGACTGTCGCTACACAGGGTGCAGCAGTTTTTGCGCCGAAAGACTGCCTACAGCTGACTGTGTTGACCTCATAGGGGTGCAAGATTGAATCTCCAGCAGGATGCTAATTACAGGAAGAAACTGGGGGCACAGGGAAAAACCACGTTTGGGACAAAACCCTGTGCTCCTCCACACTGCAGAAGTGCTGTCTTGTGCGGCACCCCAAAAGAATGACGTGTGATTCTCACATGCCGTCGTGCGCGACACCCCGAAAGAATGACGTGTGATTCTCACGTGGTCAACCTTGCGCAGCAGATAGCCCGAGATACCCACAGAAAGCGCGGCTTGGCCGATAAGATTTGCATTGGCCGATAAAGTTGCAGGAGCCAGCTGGGGTGCTGAGGGGTGTATAAGAGGAGCCTAAACCCTAAAACCCTAAACCCTAAACCCGGGTGTACAAGAGGATCAGGGAGTTCATAGCAAACCTCGACCCCTTTAAAGAGACCCATGTGCCTCTTAGGGCTTCCTTTCCTTTCGATATCATGAACAGGGTTGCTGTGTGTAGTGGGCTTTGGGGCTCATGTACTCCCTCCCGCTGATCTGAAACATCTCAGAATGCTTCTGCTATAACTCGGCTAGAGTTGGGGAATTGGAACATGTCATATCAGCCTGTTTTTGTTGCAACAGGTCTCCTTACCACTCATAGCCCTAAACCCTAAACCTGAGGGGATTGGGAGCCTCTTCGGCTCGTGGACCCTTGTGAGGCTGAAAGGCATGCAGCCCGAGGGTGAAAGGATGTGGGACCCTGGTGGAGCCCTTATAACCCTCAGCCCACATGACAAGAAACTGTTTTCCAGGACCGAGATATGATTTTGGGGGAAACCTCATGGAGAAAGACTTCCCCAGGGTAGGCATTTGTCGCATGACAGACATTGCCATCCATCCATCTAAAAACCACCTACAGTCACCCACACAAAAAACAACAAAAGAGGTTTAACAACGGGGCGCAATTGTACCATCACCGCAAAGGTGGCGCCCAATCGGATTTGCCATTTTGACAAGCTCAAAGCAACCTGCGATAGAGTCGGGTTCTCGAAGCCATAAGAATCGAAAGCCCTCTCAGTCGCCGAATCTAGCTCTCTTTGGCACGTGACCTGCAGCACCTGCGGCACCTGGTAGACGCAACAATTCGACTACATCCAAATGGCCCTCCTCTGCTGCGAGGTGCAAAGCGGTCGCACCATCTTCTCTCATTGCTTCCTTGTCGGCACCAGCTTCCAGCAGCAATCGCGCAACATCTGTATGGCCAAACTGAGACGCAAGGTGCAAAGCTGTTCCATCTTGCATTGCTGCAGTTTTGTCAGCGCCAGCCTCCAGCAGCATTCGTGCAATATCCACACGGCCATTCTGAGCTGCGACGTGCAATGCCGTCATGCCATCTTGCATTGCCGCATTTTTGTTAGCACCAGCCTCCAGCAGCAATCGCGCAACATCCACATGGCCATACTGAGCTGCGACGTACAACGCTGTTGTGCCAGTTTGCCTTGCTGCCTCCTTTTCCGCACCAGCTTCCAGCAGCAATCGCACAACATCTGAATGGCCATTCAGAGCTGCTATGTACAAAGCTGTTGCACCATTTTGCATTGCTGCATCTTTGTCAGCACCAGCCTCCAGCAGCAATCGTGCAACATGAACATGGCCGTTCTGAGCTGCTATGTGTAAAGCTGTTGCGCCAGTTTGCCGTACTGCAGCATCCTTTTCCGCACCAGCTTCCAGCAGCAATCGCACAACATCAGAATGGCCATTATAAGCTGCTGTTTGCAAAACTGTTGCACCGTTTTGCCTAGCAACATCCTTGTCAGCACCCTTTGCATGCGGAAATCAATGATGCGGTTGTGGTTGCATCCAACGACTGAAAATCCATTCTCACCAGTGCAAGATCTGCTGGGCCTGTCAAGGGAATGTCATCATGCATCTCCTTGTTGTCTTCTCCCAAAAGCTTCAAACGAAATCTCGAGCATCCAAACTGAGATCCTAATTTTCTTCTTCAGAACCACCACCCAACTCTTATTTTCTTAAGAAGCTGGCCTGTCAGCTCCTCCACTTGAAACTCTGCTACTGTTGCGCCAGACAATGCCCGAACATGCAACATCACCAAAGCAAGATCATGAATTTCAGGGGATTCTCCCCCAACTTTTCAGGGGTTTACTTACAAAGACTTACAGGAATCCAAGAGAGAAGCCGGGAGCCGGGAGCCGGGACCGTGAGCGTCGCCGGGACCGGGAGCGTCGACGGCCGCGCGGGGTCCTTGTGGGCATAACCCCCTCTGACCAGATGGCCGCTTCTCTAAAAGAAGGGCGCCGCCCTTTTATTGTGGGGTTTAGGGTTTAGGGTTTAGGGTGTAAATAGGGTTTAGGGTTTAGGGAAGTTATGGTTCCTTTTTGGGTTCCTTAGAAAAAGGCGACCCCTCTTTTTTCGGGTACCCAGAACGGGACAGAAATTTAGAGACGTGACCTCATTGAGTCGGTTCTCGAAATGCTTAGGGGGGGTTGTGGGGCTTATAATCGGGGCTTAGTACCTTCCGGGTCCCTGTTTCGTCATGCCGCGGAGCTGATGCCTTCATTTGTGGGGCCCAGAAGACCACCTGTTTGTTCGGAGAACGGGGCCGATGAGTGTGCTGTGCTGAGCTACCCCAGTAAAAAATTCCACCCCAGAGCTAACATCGAGTTTGCGTCATCGCCTTCTCTTGCTGTCTCTTGTAAGGCTTGCTGCAAGGAGGGCTTCATGTGCTTCTTATGGAATGCTATGGTAGGGGCTTGTTCGGATTTGGGCTTTATGGAGCTTCCACTTCATCACAGGGAGGATGGTCGGATTCTTCGGCGTGGCATCCCTGAGAGGCCTAGGCCTAGTCACCCGAGCCTGAAGGTTTAGGGTTTAGGGTTTAGGGTTTAGGGTTTAGGGTTTAGGGTTTGGGGAACACCTCGATGAACCCTAAACCCATCGTCATGAGCTGAGCCCTGCACGCAGACCTCACGACGCGCCGCTGCCTCGGCATCGCAAGCTGAGAGAACCCCAGGCAGCGGGTTGGTTTGGGGTGTAGGGTCTAGAGGGATTAGGGTTTATATGGTTTGTGGACCTGAACATGAGGGGGAGGCCTTGTGTCGTCTTACAAGTCCTACGCAAAAGCATCTGAGCCGTGATTGCCCCAAGACCTGGGCACTTAACTGCTGTTCCTTCTCTTTCTTTGCTTACCTAGTACTTGTCTAGAGTCTAAACCGTAGGTACTCCACGGAGTCGAAGGCTTCCTGTTGAACCCAGGTCATCGCGTGAAACATTACACTCAGGAGTTCACACAGAGACGAAGCTGCCCAGCACAGGCTCTCAGAGCAGCAAGGAATTCAACCAATCTGAGCACGAAAACCCACGTGCCGCAATGGGCACCCGGGCTTGCTTTGGTTCACCCGCTCGCGCCAGACCTGTGCATGCTTTTGATGGACAGGGGCATGTCGAGACCTCGCATGTCCTTCTTGGGACTTGGGGTCCCCTTGGGGTCCCCTCTGGCTGCTTTTTGCGGTACGGACGGCATCTTACGGACCGGTTTGGGTGGTTTTGGGAGCCGGATGACGGATGTCAAGGATACATTTGTGTCATTTCCGCAAAAAGTTGAGTTGTGCTGGTGAAGATCTGCAAGGTTCACTAGCGTGCTCCGGTGTTAGGTTCTATCGAAAGTCCGAGCCCTCGAAGGCTGCATGGCTCACAGCCGGGCAGGACTGGCAAGCCCCATGAACCCTGGCTGCCCCGCCTTTTCCCAGTTGAAGTCTGGGTCATTCATGGGCTTGCCATCCTGGCTGGCCATGCAGAAATAGCTCCAACTCAACTTACCCTGACGCACGAAAGGCGGAAGGCCTCCTCAGGATTGCAGGGCTCGCTGTGCACCGGTGTTTCCTCCCTCCGCCTCTGTCCTCTCAACCTTCTTAAGCAAAGCCCCCTCGCACGGTGCCTCTGAAGCCATCCAAAAAGAAGCCAAACACCACCATGTAGGAGCGCAAGAATGTGCCCCTTTGTGATTTTGACTCAGAGGAATCGACCCCGTGATTCCTAATAAGAGCCCTTTTGGAATGGAGTTCCACGAAGCCTCACTGAGCCGAAGCCCTCGAAGGGCCTTGTCTTTGGGGACCTTCTTCCTGTCGCCGCCACTGCGCGACCTGCTTGCGTCCTGCGCGCGCGTTCCGAAGTGTCTTTCAGCCTCCACGTTTCTTCCAGGTTTCGGGAGGAGTGGTGAGGGCGGAAGGGGGGCGCTAGGGGGGGGGGGACAATTTCTATCTCAGAGGGGGCTTTTGGGGGCTTTCAAGTTTGAGCCTCAGAGATGTTTCAACTAAAGTTTTGGCCTCGGACGTCCAGGGCTTTCTCGGGCCCTGCGATGATGCTGGGCCTTCGGGATTTCTATGCGTGCTCCAATTCAGACCAAGATGCCCGGCAAGACCTTGTGAACTCTATCAGCATCCCCTAAGCAACCTTCTTCCCTCCGAGAGAAGTAAGCCTTCCTGTCATTCCTGTCGCCGAGCTTTGCAGCGCCAAACAAGCCCTAGACGCTGAGCTAAGGGTTATTGGCCTACACATGTCCTTGAAGTCCCAAGAATTGTCGAGCCCCCAAAATATGATATGTAAAGACAAAATCACGAGCTAATGTCACTCCTTGTCGTCTTTGCCCTTCTTCTTTTCTTTATCATCGTCGTCGTCCTGCGACGAGCTTCGAAACCCTGAGCCCGTTCAGGCGCAGGGCCTCCCGCAAACGCGAGGGGTACCCTGACAAAGAGGGTTTTTGAGTAAGGATTGTCTCGCATGGGCTTTCGACGCGGCCATTGGGGTCCAGGGGATTTGTTCAAGTCCTCGCAGAACAAACCCCAAGACCCCAAAGCAAGCCCCAAATTTCCCCCCAGGTCCCCCCCTGTGGATCCCACGGTCCCATGGAGGCGGAGACTCGACGCAACTAAATCTTCCAAACCCGCCTCCAAAGAGCTCTTTTTTTGCACGCCCTACCTCTAAGGGTAGTCACGTGGTCCCTTAGGATGGGCCCTTGAAGTGGGGGCCCCTTAAATACTCCCTGATACTTCAGAACCCTTTGAAGGAGGTAGGGGGGCCTAGTCAGGGGCCATGCAACGACCCTTAGACCCCAAAGCTGATCCACGCCTACTATGGGGGCCTTTGTGATTAGAACAGGGCTTAGGGGGTTACTATAGTAGAATGATAAAAGAACCATACGGGAATAATATTAGAAATTTTTCCGACCCCCACCCTAAATCCTAAATCCTAAACCCTAAACCCCCTATATTACTAGCAAAGCCCGCGTGCTGCCTTGGACTTCTGCTTCTTGTCCTGCATGGCCTCCGCGAAGGTCATCCTGTCCATGTCTGCTTTTTTACAATTGGGATTTTGGGGGATTTGAGAGGTTTAGGGTTCAGGGTTCAGGGTTTAGGGTTCAGGGTTAAGGGTTAAGGGTTAAGGGTGAAGGGTTAAGGGTTTAGGGTTTAGGGCTTGGTTGGTTTTGCTCTTCTGAAGCAAGCAATGACACATCAATATCAACCCGGATTTATGGACACACACACACACACACACACGTGAATTTCATGGAACTTACGGATGCTCTCGATGACCTGCGGAGGTGTGAGCAGATTGCAGCTCTCAAGCCCCCTTCTTCAGACCCTTTGGGACCTGTCGTGGCCCGGCTTGGCGTCCGCCGCGCCAATGCCTTCTGCAGTGATGCCGACGATGCCCTGCGCACAGAGGGCTTGTGAGAGCAAAAGGGGGCTCAGGGCTTTCAACCTGTGCTTCTGGGAAAACTTGCCTCCCCTGCCAAGCCCTATAAACCCTATAAACCCTATAAACCCTGTAAACCCTATAAACCCTACAAAACTCTATAAACCCTATAAACCCTATAAACCCTAAACCTACACCCACAGTTACGCATTCGACACACCTTAAGCCTCGACGCCATGTCTGAAAAGGCCAAGCCAAGGAAGACGGAAGGCCAAACAAAGGAACCCTAAACCCTAAACCCTAAACCCTAAACCCTCAACCCTAAACCAAGCGACCCCCCTTCGACTCCCAGTCTTCCCTTCCTTTTTAAATCCCCCCCTACCAAATTTGGGTAGTTTTCTCTAAATTTGGGTACCCATTGGGTATTGTAAAAGGGGATCCCAAAAAGGTACCCCCCAATGTAGAGAACTACCCAAATAGCTACGGCAAACCCTCAACAACCCTCTGAAACCCCTTTACCTTGCCCCAAAACGCCCCTTCCCTTCCCCCCTCCTTCCATCTTTCGGCGTTCGGCCTCTCCAACCACCAGGAGGATGTCAGCAGCTGGCACGAAGGCCCACTCCTCCACTGATGGCACCTGCTCTTGAGAAGGATTTCGGGGACATAAGTGCCTCTTTAAGGCAGCCCTTTAAGGGAGATCAGGAAGAGCTGCTTGCAAGAGGGGGCCTTAAAAACTAGAATGGGGGTTTGGAGAGGTGATTATAGTATAGTTATCGCCAAATTTGGGAATCAATGGCAAGTATTCCGACTCCCATATCGGATTGTCGGGCGCCTAATGGCCCAGCCTTTGGTTGCCCCCCCCACCCCAACGAAAGCCCTCATACCAGCATGGTCTAGTAGGCCTTAAAATTCCCCTAACCAACCCCTTTAAGGAGCCTTTTCAAGGGGTTGTAGGGTATGATTCCCCATGTAGATATAGCATAATCCCCTAACCAACCCTTTTAAGGAGCCTTTTCAAGGGGATATAGGGTATGATCGCCCATGTAGATATAGCTCCGGCCTCCGTGGTCTCGTCCGGGTTCGTAGAGGGCTCCTGGGGACATTTCCCCACGATGTGCGCTCTTTCGGATAAAGAAAAAAAGCTCCGAAATCCCAAGAGGGCGATGCCATCGGGACACATCCTAGGTCCTAGAAGCTCACGCGCTATAAAAAAATAGAGGCAGCTCCCCTCTAAGCAGTTTAAGCCCCCATCCTTTACCAAGCCAAACAGCCCACTACGACCTTAAACCTCTTCTGCGACCAATGGGCCGCTGTGAAGAGGTTGAGGTGGCGTGTGGCCTCGCCATCTGTTTTGGCCTCCACGGAGGACTGCATGCGTCTCTGCGAATACCGAAGACAAGCCCCAAAAAATGCAAAACCTTCATGAAGTCTACGTGTCTCTCTGATGGCTATTTGGGACTCTGGCACTGCGGAAGAAGGTTTCGACTCTGTGCGGGCCCCTTCAAACTGAACGGGATCCTCGGGTCCTCTTAGCTACTCTTTCTCAAACAGGGAAAAGAGGCCGAACAACAGTGCCAATAGGGCCCTCTTTCGTCGAGGTTGCCATGCGCTGAGGGCTGAGGCCCCGCGCCCACTCCGTGATGTCTTTCCAGAGTGCGGCGACCATCAGTCGCACCTGCGGTGAGGCCCCTGCAGTCTTCCTCTCTCCCCCTCCCCCCTTTCCCCCGAAGATTTTTTCTCCACAGCTACGTTCCTTTACCCACAAACCCATTGAAGCACATTCTTTCATTCTCTCACCTGGGGCAAGAAGGCGCCGATCTGGCATCTTTCTTTCTATGAAACGCTGCCTGCAACCCTCCACTTCTGCCGGCGCGGCCTCCTTGTCTCCGGCCCCCACAAAACTATCGATGCCGCGCGGGAGCACGTTGCGGATCCTGGTGACTTGGGGAAGGGGGGGGTTCGAAGAGCGTGCTCTGGGATTCAGGACTCAAGACTTCAGCGGGGGGGGCTTGCGCCCCGAAAGCCCTGGCCCGAACCCTGGCCAAGCGCACGGGACGGGCAAAGGGTCCTATCCCGCCATAACGTCGCCCAAGCAGACGTGCGCTTGCCCTCCTGGCTCGGTGCGCCGATGAAAAAACCTCTTGTTTTTGTTCCTCTCTTTTTGCCCCCTCTACACTTTTGTGTAGAACACCCTAAAATAAAACCCTCTGCCCATCATAGGAACTCTCGAACGCTGAGGCATAAGACTTCAGGTCAAGCACCATACTAAGTTGCTTTTTGGGGGAGGGATAGGCTTGCACTTCTCCACCCCGCCCCCCCCCGCCGTAAAGATGGGAGCACTTGGCGGAGGCTGGGTTGCACTCTGAGAAACGGCCTGTAAACTCACAGTTAACCTTATTAAAGGCCTCGGGATTCGGGGAGTGCTTCATGCTGCTTCCGGGTTCTCCACGTACTCCCTAGATGCTTTGAGACTGTCCGAAACATCCAAAACATCCAAAACGGGTGTCGTAATTATCCCCCGTACTGAGGACTCTGTCCCTCTTTATGGGATGGCATTTCTACGCATTGCGTGCGCAGAAGCAACTTATCTGGCCATGGTTTACAGGGGTTCCGACTCTCGCAACACGGAGATATGAGGAGCGAGGGCCACTTATACCGTTGAGGCGATGGGTTGGGAAACCAGCAAGGAGGCTCTTACATAGGTCTCGTTTCGGCTGTCTCTAGGATGGTGGAACCTTAGGGCCAAGACCCCCCTCAATGTCCGCGGCAGGGGACTGTTGAAAAGGGAAGGGTTAGGGTTTGTACAAGTCATGCAGGCTTTCAAGGCTTGTGTGGTGGCTCCATGGGCTGCGAAAGAGGAGTAACAGAGACAAGACCCACCCGTTGCCCTGAGGGCCTCGTCGTCCCACATGCTGCCTCCGCTCTGGCGGCTCTATGAGGAGAGGAATGAAGCTGTACCGCAAAACTCTACCCTCCGGCAGAGGAGTACATGGGATGATTTTTATTGGAGGCCTGCAGCTCTGGTACACAGGAGTAGAAGGCATCCGGAAAAAAGGGGGCAAATATGCCATCTTTCACAAAGATTATCACCAGCAAGCACAAGGGGACCATCATGAGGGGCCTGAAGTGAACACTCGGACCCTTGCATCGCTGGGAAACTCCCGGCCCTGCCATCCTTGCTTCTACTAAAGCCACACTTTTAGTCGAAGCTTCTCAACGCCTTAAGCCCCACATCCCTGTCCACCGTATCCACCTCGCCGGGTCTTCGTGCCAGCGCCGGGCTCATTGGCTTCGGGCGTCCACACGCGGAGCCTTCAAGCTTTGTCTTGATCTCAGGCTCAATGCACGTGTCGAACTTTCAGTCTTCTGCATATTTATAGACGTACATACATCCACCATACACATCAACATGCTCTTCAAAATGTGCATATAATATATATATATATATATATATATATGTATATCTGTGTGTGTGAATATACATAAGTATACACGCTTCGATCTTCTCTTTGCAATAGTCATTTTGCATGAAGGAACCATTTCCACCATATTTGGGGTGTTGCTTTTCTCCTTCGGAACGTTTAATGCCCTGTCATGCGGGGATTGTGGACCCCAAATGCAACTTTGTCTTGAGGCCTGCACACACCAAGGCTCGCCAAGGTCGCGGCTTCATTTTTTCGCGCAGGTCGCGCCAAAGTCCGATCTCAGGGTACTGCATCATGACCTGATCGTAAGGTTAAAGTGGGTTTAGGGTTTAGGGTACAAACACTTCCAGATGAGCATCCCCTACACTCGAACCTCATGTCCGACCTACACCCTTTGTGCGTCTTACAGGTAACCCTTACCCCCAATCACAAGGGACTCTCTCTTTTCCTTAGTTATACCTCTCTCTCTCTCTCTCATCGTTATCCGAAAAGAAGTCGACGAACGACAGCACACGAAGCCTACTATGATAAGTCAAACCATCGGCTCAGGGAAGGGCAGTGTGCCAGTTCCCGCGCACACAGTCGTTGTTCCTGCATTGAGCAAGCGAAGCACGCCACACCCTCAAGTAGCAAAGCAAAGCAAAGAGAGGTCCTGAGTTACGCCTGATGCCTGTCCCTTATCGAAAACAAAAACCGCTTCGTTCCTCACCTTTAGGGTTAGGCACTCCAGAGTCCCTGCGGGGCAGGTCGGGGTAGCTAGCATGGTACCCCGTTGTTGTGGCTGCAGCACGTCAGTCAACGGCCCATGCCAGGTGGTCCCCCAAGAAAGTTTGTAGTACTGGTACTTCTTACAGATGTATGAATGGCTGCTATCGCGATGTATCGGCTCGGAACTCAGTGGACCACCTGGCTGGGATCACCCCCTGCCTCTTAGCCTCCGCGAGTGTTGCGCGGTTCAGCGCACAGAGGAATTGCCTCAGCAAGTGTTTCCTGAACCTGCGCGAAACATCTTGGGGTGAGCTGCTCGAGAATCCCTCAGGGGTGAAGGTCTAAGGTCCGTGTCAACCCACAAGCCCTTCTGCATATTAGGGGTCTAGCAGTCTAGCCTGTTGCCCTCAGGCCCCAAACCCTACTGCCAAGCAGTAGGGATTGGGCGTTGGGATTTTGTGGCCGGCCGTGAAGCATGCGACACCACGATGCTTGGGTCCCTAAAGATCCCTTCAGCCCTGCCCCTAGATTTTCGCATTCCTGGCATCTGTGCCAAACCAAAACCCCTCAATCACTGTCACAGGCCCTCTTGCAAACTTCTAGAAATGGGTGTCATGAAAACAACAGTGTCACTAGATTTAAGCGTCCCGCATCGGTTCTACTGTAGCCACCTTCAAGCCTGCCAAAGCTTGCCATCTCTGAATGCCCTGAAACTCGGAATGGGTGCTTTCTGGGCACTGAAAAAACCGAAAAATCCAGGTTACCCCAAGTCCCCAAAGCCGCCCCAAATACTTGGAGCTCTTTCCGGTAGCATCTAAGCATCCCAACGCCCGGAAGCGCTTTGGGGCGCAGTCGTAGGCCGTCCCTCGGCGCATACTTGGAGGTTTGTGGTACTTCTTAACCAACTATAACTGTACTTATCACCCACTTATAAACCCCTTAAGTGCCCTAATATGGTAATTCCAAATTGAGGAAGGGTGTGAGGATTTCGGCTGGGTCTCGAAAAGAAGGTGTTTGGGGCCGGGCGATCGCTTCTGTGGTCGCATTGGCGGTTGCGGTTGTTGATCGCTTCCAGAGCATGGGTCGTAGCTTATGCATCTTGGTCTCTGAATCCCTGGCAGTCCCGGTTCGTGAAACCCTAAACCCTAAACCCTAAATCCTAAACCCTAAACCCCAAAATCCTCAACCCTAGCAGGGCTCCCCCTGAGCTTAAGACATCCCTTTCTTAAGCCATGCCAGAACAGCAAAGACTGACCCCCGGCAGTCCCACAAGCCATGTTCACCCCCTATCAGAACAGTCCTTAATAGGGGCTCTAATGGGGGGTACTAGAATCCCTGGTAAGGACTGTTAGAAAAATGGGGAACGGAACATCCCTGCCCTATAAATCCCCCCCCCCCCAAGTTGCGAGAAAACAACAAGATTTCAAGATGCAACAATCCCAAAGGGGGAACATCAACCCATGCCCTATAAACCACCCCCCAAGTTGCGAGAACAAAACTTAATCCCTGTTCCCCTAGGAAGAAAAAAAGGATCCTTTTTGTTTATATATAAGAAAGCCCATAACCCAAAAAGTAAAAAGGATCCCTAACACTGATTGAGAAAAAAAGGAAGGTTTCAAGATGCAACCTACTAACCCTAAACCCTAAAATCTAAAAATTAAACCCTAAACCCTAAACCCTACTTCCCATCCTTCAGCTGGCGCACGCAGCGGGGGGGTGCCGAAGAGGTCGAGGAGCCGGTTCATGTCGAACCACTCCGCTAGGAGAACCTGAGGCGGAGATTTATAGAACCCTAAACCCTAAACCCTAAACCCTAAACCCTTGTTTAAGGGCATCTGGGCACAATTTGCGGAAGCAAGATGTTGAGACGGCAAGACGTCCTCTAAACTACAGGCGTCGCCTGTGGTCTGCTGTTTGTCCACGTCGTCGAGGCTGTAAAGGCCTAAGTGTGGGGATTGTGGCCGGGCGGGACCTTAAAGCGTAAGCTTCTGGAACCCCCGCCTCCGCCTCCTGCTACGAACCCTTGTGCCATGTCCAACGCTTGCCGCTGCACCCTCTGTAGAGACTCCAAATCGAATTTCGTAAGCCTCCCCACAGCCGAATCTCGAAAGACCCCCTTGCAATTCCACTCTGTTCGAAAGCAGATTCGCACAAACAGGGACAGAACGAGTAAGCGTCTTTTGCCATTTGAGCACTCGGCAGCAAGCGAGCGGGAGTGTGCCGGTCCGGGCACCTCTGTGCGCGAGAGTTTGGGGAGGTTCTTAGAATTCAGGGTGCCCTCTCAGCGAGCTTTTGCCTAGCTACCTTAGCTTACGAACTCTTCTACCCACTGAAAATTTTGAAGCCCTGGGAGTTCGGCACATGCTCTTCTGGAAGACCTCGGTGTCCTGAATCCTATAGACTCAACTGAATAAACCTCGCAAGAGTCGCGCCTCTCCCTCGCCCGTCAGCGCTAGCACCGCATGCAGCATGCGGGTGGCCTCCATCGGGGAGAGGGCGGGGGGGGGGGGGGGCAAAGAAGAATCTTGCACCTCTACACAGAGGGACAACACTGATTTCCCAAAGAGATCGTGCGGCTGCGAGATCCCAAGCATGTCCTGGGCCAGGTATAACTCCCGGGTCTCTACTTTTCATTGTTTTTCTCCGTTCTCTCTCTCTCTCTCTCTGACCATCAAACAGCAAGCGCGATCGGCGAGACTTACAAGTACAAGCATCGCCCCGCATCCATGGGTCAGATGCTGTTGACGATCATGCCGACTGAACAACACTTTCTCTGGCAACTGGCTCCTGAAGCACCAGAAGTACATATGTTCCCTAAGATGGTCACCCTCAATTTCGGCCTCTGCAAACAGGGCTTCCTGCGGCCGCTCCAACATTTCGGGAGTCACCGCCGTCCCCATGGTGAGACAGATGGCCTGGGCAAAGGTTCGAGGAGACAGAGGGTTTAGGGTTTAGGGTTTAGGGTTCGGATGCCGTCATGTTTTTCGAGCCACTCTTGGGGGGGCGTTTTTGCGCAGTGTTCCTTTTGGAGCTTGTAGCCACCAGAAACAGTACTTGCTGACGGTACTGCAGCTTGCAGCCTTCAGCCAAAATCACGCTGCAAGAGTAAAAAGCATGCCATGAAGCTCGGTGCGTATGAGCTTCGGGCCTTTTCGGGCCTGGTCGCTCTATTTAATGGAAGATCTGAAGCTGGGGAGGAGGGCACTCACAGGCCCCCAAACTGAATGGCACACACCTCCATTGGGCCTGGAAGCTGGGCTTGCGCACAGCACATACAGCAGAGAGCTAACTCAAGCGGGGACTTGCCGTGGAAGAGCCGCAGCCTATAGCTTACCAAGCCAAACCTCGCCGCCAGCTTTTTGCATGATCGGTGTTCTAGGCCAACCCAGTAAACCGAGCCCCACATTTCATGCAAGGAAATGCGCACAAGCGCAAAGCTGCCTTGGGGAGCGAAGCAGGCTGCAAAGATTCCGGCACAACAACAACACGGGTCGTTTACGAGATTTGGGGTACCTTATTGGGGTCCGGCATGATGATACCCCCAGCTGAATACCTGCCAAGCTGCTCTGAGAAGATTTCTCTGCTCCTCCAAACCTGCGCAGCAACAATCGAGATCAGCCCACAACGCCAAGAGCCCGATGAAGCCCGGGGCCAGAGGCCCAAGTTACCCAGGCACTCGTGCTCACGGGGACGTATGCAGGTTGGATGGTTGGCCGGGCTCAGGATTCCTGAGTTCTTGTTGGGCCGCCCCCTTCCAAAAAAAGAAGACTAAACTTCGGTATCACGTCTGCTGCAAGCCTCCGCCGTTTTAAAGTCCTAAACTGCTGAACGCCTTATAAGCTGCCTCAGAGTATCCTAAACTCCGACCTCCTCTCAAGCCCACAAGAAGTCTCGCAAAGGGCCCCTAAACCCTTGATAAACTGCCTCAGAGCCCACAAGACCCTAAACCCTAAACCCTAAAGTCTCTCAACAAAGGGGCCTTGCCTTCTTTCAGCTCTGCTGCCGCATCGGTGAGCCGCTTGAAGGCATCGTGGGCCTGGCTCCAGGGCTCATTCGAGGGTTTAGGGTTTAGGGTGTAGGGTTTAGGGTTTAGGGTCTCTGAAACTGCAAAAAGTAAGGCTTACCCCAAGGCTCCAAATAGCCCAAAGTAGGTATTCTTTGCAGACTTTAGACCCCCATGTGGGCAATAGTTGTGTACCTGGAGCCCGAGGGCTACTGTAAGGGCCTAACATGAAATCGTCTACGTGGCTTCGGTGGGGGTTGAGGGGAGGGGGGGAAGGTAGCACGGGTGACGATGGGATTGCCCACCTTTCATGACATTCAGGTTCAAGAGCCCACTAAGAAGCTCACTGTCCTTCCACAAGACCAGAACCCAACATACCCAAGAGTTCTCACCAAGGGCAACGTAGAGGGGAAACCCTACAATTCTACATCTGGACCCCTTTTGAACCCAGACTTTTGATGTCTGCAGCTGGCACGAAGATGGCTTTCCGTCAAGAACTGCAAGAAACTGGCAAAACACCCCTCGACACAATAAAATCCTGCAACCCTCGTCCGTGCTGCTTTTACTCCAACCTGCAAAGTGAGTGGAGCGAGCACACCATAAACACATTCCACATCTGGATCGAGACCCGCGCCTCTGCTTCAGTCCAAATATCCAAGGCCCACAACTTAGACGCCATCCCATCTGGGCGTACACCCTAAACCCCGGAACGGCCATGAACCACAAACAAACACAAACAAACAAACAAGCAAACACAAGCAAACACACAAACACACAAACAAGCACACAAACAAACAAACAAAAAACAAGCACACAAACAAACAAACAAACAAACAAATCAAACAAACAAACAAACAAAAACAAGCACACAAACAAACAAGCACACAAACAAACAAACACACACAGCGACACCGCGCAAAAAATGGATCTTGTACGTCAAATAAACTGTTGCAACAGTATACCAACATCATAACGCCATGATACATCGTCATCATCTCTGAACATCATCTTATTTATGGATGAATCAATAGTTTAAATATCAGAAATATTTGGATGTTATTTAGTTTGTTAGTTATCTGTATAAAGGATAAAAAGACCATAGTAGATGCAGGGGATGGAGAGCCTCCTCGATGTCCGGATTCTTATCCGGGTGTAGCGCGCGGGAGAGCTGGCGATACGCATAGTTGATATCTGCCTCCCATGTGGGCATCTGTTACTTTGCGAATAGTTCATGCGGTTGTGGTGTTGGAGCTTCGTGATGTTTTGTGGAGGCGATGAGGGCTGAAATGTTTGGGGGCTTTGGGCGGTTCGGAGAAGGACGGGCACAAGTACTGAACACAGGCTACGACCTAGCGTGACCCTAGTCTGAGGTCTTGGTTCCAGTTGTTGAACGTGAACACCACGTTCAACTGCAGCCCCAAGGCCCCCCAGCTGTCCAAGTTAGACTCCCTCCCTAGAACCTATCAGAAGCGATACTGGGGGCATAATACACAAAGCCGGGAGAAGGCCCCAGCAAATAGTAGTTCCCGATAATTCTCGATGTCAGCCCTATATGACTAAGCCCTACAAAATCCCACACCAGCTATCGCGAGATCCGATCCTTGTGATGCGTCTTTAGCTCTTGTCTGAGCCAGCCGAGCGCACATGGAGCGCCCGCTTTTTTGCCCTCCAGCTCTGTCGAGAGGTCATTCAATTTTAGCAACAAAAACCGAGGGCGCTGGCCGAACTTGGGACAGTCTCATCAGGATGAAACATGCGTAAGAAGGGGAATTGAAAGTGCCCGGAGTAACCCGACCCCTGCTTTGCCGGACAGAGTTTAATCTCAAGGATTCGGAGGGCTCCGGCAGTTCTGTTCTGGAGACAGTCCGATATCCGGGGCAACGCGGTACCAAGAGAAACCTCGTGGGGTCCGCGGAGTTGCCAGCGGCTGATAAGAATCCGTCGTTTTTCCTCCCTAGGCCATATAGGCTTCCTCCAACCTGAAAAAAAGGCAGGCTTCCGCCAGGTTTTGCAGGATTCGAATATTATAAACCCTTCCCCCGCGAAGGGACGAACATTAAAAGACCTCAGCATGAAAGGAGTATCTTACAGGCGACGCTGCGTAGTCAATGCCGCTGTTCAGCACAATCTTGGCATCTTCAATCGTGCCTCGGCTCGTGCGTCGAACCTCGCCTAATAGAGACCCGAAGACAGACGGAGTAATATATAGGGGCCTTCAAAGAACTAGAGTAGGGTTTTGGGTGTTAGTACTAGTATACCAAAAAAGGGACCACAACGGAGCAATATTAGTAGATATTCGAGCCCCCCCCCCCCCCTAAAATAGAGGCCAGGCGCATGGCTGCGGAGTCAGGAGAGACACCACGTAGGCCCAGTGGCTGTCCGGCTGGCCCCGGACTTCGATCACATCCTCAATGGTCTCTCTCACTTAAGCGCTTTTGGGTTTAGGGTTTAGGGTTTAGGGTTTAGGGTCTAGGGTTTAGGGTTTAGGGTTCCCTTAAGACCCTCTGTCCATTCGAAGCCATCCAAATGCACCACGTATCCACTGATTGCCCCCAAAACTCCCCCCAAGCTCAGCTTTCGAGTTCTCTTGGGAGTTAAGGTTCGGAAGCGATGTAATACGGTGCCCCGACCCTCCACCCAGAATTCCCTACTCCTGAAGGCAGGCTTGGGGGGGTGGGGGGGGGGGTCCGTGTCGTCGACCACCACGCGGGTCCACATGGCGAAGCCAGAGAAGCGGCAGCTCCCATTGGGATCCACCTCAGGTTCGCGTCCTTAAGGGAAGACCTGAGGTGGGTGGGGGGGGGGGTCAGCGTCCTTGGGAGAGGTACAAAGCCCTAAGTCCTAAAAAATCTGAGAGAATTGGGAACCTAGAACTTGAGCCCATCCTGAAATTCCATGCAACACCTCACCAGAGGCACCTGGAACTCTAGGGTCTTCTGCTGCTGCCGCGACGTCTCGGATTCCGTGTTGCCTGGGCCCGAAACTTGGGGGAGACTTCGGAGCTGCCGCAGAGCCCCGGACTCCCTCCCCCCCTCTTGTGTCCCGCGCCCCTGGGGCCCGTGTAGCCCTCATGGCCCAACAATAAAAAAAAAGAACCCAGAAACCCCCAAGCGGGAGCCTTCTTCGTGATATTTTCATGGATTTGAGTTTTTTTGGGAGGTTCCTTCCTTTGAGATGTACTACAAAGTTCTTGAGGTTTATGCGGTCGGTTGGAAGCTTACGCCTACGAGCACAACCCCGCTCTCCGGTCTCCACGAAACATAAGGAAACATCAACATCCCCAAGACGCAGTAGTCGAAGTCTTCGAGGATTTGCGGTTCTGACAGAAACTCCTCGGCTGCTCAAGTTGTCCTTTCCAGTAAGAAATTTACCTAAAAGGGTCTATATAGGTTCCTGTTGAACTTTGAAAGCGCGCAAAGGTGGAGCTGCGGGATGTGCTCAGCAGCTTGGAACCCAAATTTTCAAACAACTTCAAACAGCCCCGTGCTGTGCCAAAGCTCCATGTTCCCCTCGTCCGCCGATGGGATGCGAAGAGGGAGGTTCGTGCCAGGCGCTGGCGTGCCTCCCACTGCATAGGGTTTTTTTGGGTTTGGGCGGCTCTGCTTGGACACTAACCGGCTCTGTGCTTTTGGGTTCTGGTTTGCGCAGCGGCATAAAATCTTGGCACCTCCAGTGACACCAGTCTCAATGTGAGCTCGGGCTTAGGCGTATTCAGGGCTTCAGGGTTGAAGCAGAACTTCGCACAGATCAAGCGCAAGTGTGAACCCCAAGAAACAGCTGCAAGAACTGACTTTCTTGGGTTGAGAGCATCTCCATGTGACCTGGAGCTCGCCCACGCCCTACTTGAAGGTTCATGGTCCGTTGCTTCTTTTACAGATGGCGCCACGAGTATGTTGCCCACCAGTAAATACAGACAACAGACTGGGACTAGGACATTCCCGAAGCGACGCTTTGGAGCTAGAAGGCAACTCGCTAGTGACACTCGAAACAGCTCGCAGCTAGCGCGTGCTACCTTCGACACCTGGGGATGCAGGATGCGCCACCCTGACATCAAAACAGGGAGCATGATTGGCCGCAGGGCGAACCCCCGACCCCCCATGGCCACGACCTTCTTTTCAAGGGGCCCCCTTATCCCTAAACCCTAAGCTCTGATCCAACAAGCTAGGTCCTAAACCATGACCCCCAAACAAGCAATCCTTTACCTAAGTAGCCCCTGAATAACCCCTAAGGTCTCTTTTGGTCCCTTGAAACCCTGAAGCCTACAGACACCCTCATCCCCCCAAACCCTAAACCCTAAACCCTAAACCCTAAACCCTAAACCCAAAACCCTAAACCCTAAACCCTAAATCCTAAATCCTAAATCCTAAACCCTAAACCCTAAACCCTAAACCCTTCCTTCCGAGCCACCTCGGCTTCGGACTCCGGCGAAGGGGCTGAAGAGTCGCTGCGCGAAGCTCCGGCCCTTGTAGAGGATGGGCACCTCTGAGTCCCCCACGTTATCTAGCTTCCTGGAGGGTTTCGGGTGAGTCTAGGGGTTTATGGGTTTAGGATGAGTTTAGGGGTTTATGGGTTTAGGGTTAGTTTAGGGTTTAGGGTGGGTTTAGGGCCTTAGTGTTTAGGGGGATTTGGGGACTCAGGGCGCGGGGCTTGGGGAAGCTAGTCGAGCTTTTGGGTTTGGCTCCATGGAGCCTCGTGGCTACCCGTGAAGAAGCTTCGGAGCCACAAAGGTGGCATCAAGGGGGAGAATTACACCCTACATGCCCTTAGGCCCTAAACGCCAGCTTGCTGCCGGATGTCTCGATATGTCGGTGCCCTCACTCCCTATTAAGCCCTAAGCCCTTTCTTGAACCCAGAAAAACCCTACTGCTCTTAACTAATCTTCCGGTGGTCCACGATGCAGGTCTGACACCGCGCGGGGATCATGCCGCAGCCCCCATCTTTCAGGAAGCGCACGCGCGCGTCGCGGATGATGGGCTCCACGCCTGTTTTTCTGAACACAAGGCGACGCCCTCCAAGGTGGCAGTTTCGATTTTTTTTTCCTCCTTTTTTTTTGGCGGGGGGGGGGGGGGGGGGAGCTGTAGAGTCTTTTGTTAGGGGCTTTTGGGGTTGTTGGAGGCCTTTATTTGAGAGCTTGGGATGGTTTGGGGATGAGGTTTCGGGTGATCAACCTCAAATCCTCCACCCAAATCCTCCGCCCTTGGGCCAACCTTTCCAGCGCAAAGAAAGTTTACGGTTTAGGGTGGCCTGAACATGTCCGGGCGGTTTAAAAGCGCTTACAGGGTCTGAAGTTGTTTAAACCCACCCAAAGGCTCCAATGTAGTTCCTTTTTGGGTTAGTTAATAGGGGATTCTGGTATACTACCCCAAAAAAGGTACTACATAGGAGCCTTTGGTTGCAAGAAGCAAACGAAGCCAAAGGCTTCGGAGAGACGTGCCTTCTTGGGTGGCAATGCTCCCAATCAGCTCCGACACCACGAAGTCGACCCGCTCCGGGAGGTCGACTTTCCTTACTTGCGGGCTCTAAGGGGGTTCTCGGGTTTATAATTTGCCCTAAACCCTAAACCCTAAACCCTAAACCCTAAACCCTAAACCCTAAACCCTAAACCCTAAACCCTAAACCCTAAACCCTAAACCCTAAACCCTAAACCCTAAACCCTAAGCTTCGGGATGCGAAGCCTGTGCTCTGAGCTGACGGTTGTCAGCAGGGATATGTAACTCTTGTTCACGCGACTGTGCCCCAAAGAGCCCCCAGCACCAGGGTTTAGGGTTTAGGGTTTAGGGTTTAGGGTTTAGGGATCGCTGAAAGCACTCCTAAAGGGACCCTGAAAGATGTCGTTATAACCCTTACGATCCATGCGGGTATATGGTCTATACTTGGGCCTTAAGGGGGACTCCTATGTAGTAGCTTTCTAGGGCCCAAGTATTATACCATATTATGAGGTACATGGATCCCTGGGGCAATGTAGCCCAGCTTCATGGCATCACCCTCAATGACCGTCACCACGTCTTGGAAGCCGGCTTTCTGGACGGCCTCTTTGGCCTGAACGGCAGCTTCCTGGTTCTTCTCGATGGCATACCTGGGGCCAGTCCCTTGTGACCATGAACGGATGCATGTCAATGTAGGGATTGGCTTCCTTTTGCCATCTGCTAGCAACCTCGCACCACACTGCCGGGATGCAAAAAGCACGCGCCTGGTCTCCAGAGACATATCTACATGCGAGGTCACCGTGGAACCCGACGTCTACAGGCTCCTACCAAATCACTCGAAACCGTTCAGTCTGACCCTAAGAGGATCTTGCCACACGGCTCTCGTAGGTGAGAGGAACTATGCAAGACCCTCACCAGTGCTAGAAGCCTTGTGCATGCAAGATGACCCTGCGTTGCAGACGTAGAGTGGAGCAAGAAAGGTTAAGTTAAGGGCTCCATGGGTCCATCTAAACCCCTCCACCCTAAACCCTAAACCCGAAACCCTAAACCCTAAACCCGAAACCCCAAACCCTAATCCCAGGCCAAGAGGACACCCTCTTCGCGCCGGCCCTGGCGGCAATAAGCGCCAGGAGAGCAAAGGGCCCGGTCCCAATATCCACCTTTTGGATTGAGAAGGTTAGGGTTTCCGGGGTTTTAGGGTTTAGGGTAGTTTGGGGTTTAGGGCCACCCGCCCAAGGCCACTTTGAAGGGCGCATGATGGCATGTTGACATGAAAACTCGTGCCTGAGATCTGCAGTCCCAGCCGTTCCCCTCTAAAACGAAACCACACCCAACAGACATGAGAGTTCAGGTCCACTCCAAACTAGGAACATGCCACAAGGGTTTAGGGTAGGACGTGACCAAACAGCCAACCCCCAATTCCCCAAAGACCCACCTGCTATGTCTCTGCAGTGCATGTTAAAGTGCCCGCAGGCCCGTAAGCCAGGCTCCGCACAAAATGTCTCCCGACAAGAAACATGGCATCCCCTATCCGCCTGCTGCATAACCAAAATTCCAGAACATGGGTATTCCTATATCCCTCTACTAATATATATATATATAGAAATATACATACAATTGCTATGTTAGTGTATTATTGTAGTCTTATATATAGACAAGCACGTCGCAAGTTGCAGCCCAGCTGCCACGGTGGCATTGGACGCAGTGGCGAGCCGGCGCTTGATTGCGGCTTCAAACCTGCCCCCGACTCGCAAGGGGCGAAGGGGGGTTCCGGGCTCAGGGTTTCGGGAGCGTAGCCGCGTGGAGGCAGCCGTTGCCCGGCTTGCCCAGCAGGGACCCTCCCCTATCTGCTGAAGCCTCGCAACCCGCAATCACAGGCCAACGCTCCTTCATTCCTTAAACGCCCACCGTCCCAGTGACATCGGCTCTAAGTGTGCCAAGAGTAGTTTTCCTATGAGCACTTCTCAGGGAAGCTCTCAGCACCTGGAGGTGCGCGGAACATCATCGCGCATGGCCTCATAGTCCTTCAAAGACCAGTCCTTTGACTGTGGAGGGCCATAAAAGGGTTCGGAGGGTCACGGTTCAGGGTTCATACGCTTCGAAGGGCTTATAGGTTGACAAGGGAACGTAGGGTTGACAGGGTTTAGTTTAGGTTTAGACTAGAGAATCGACATGTTTTGCCAAAATTATTGTGCGCGCTTGAAAACTGAAAAGGAGCCATCTAATCTACATGGCCTCTCGGACCTCTCACATCCTCCCCATGTCAACATGAAACTGGCGCCTCTGGCCGGGCCAATAGAAGCCCGGCACCCCTAGCATCCAGAACCTAGCTTTTTTTCGGCCTCGGTCTAAGCCTACGGAAGTTTTCGTAGTCCTCAACAGCCCAAATTCCAGACTTTGGCCCACACAATTCAAACCTTGTTCCCGCAGACTCCGTCCTCCAAGCCGCTTTCTGCGATGGTCTGATCCTGAGCCGCAAAAAGAATCCGGTGTAGGGTTTAGGGTTTAGGGTTTTCGGTGTAGGGCTGTGAAACAAGACTAAGGCATTGGGTGCATTGGGCTTCTAGTTCATGGTCGGCATAATATTGAAAATTTACATTTCTATTCCTTATTGGGTTTAAGTATCCTTAAAATTGGAAAATGTTACCCAACTATGACTCGCGCGATTGGGGGCTTGGGCCGTGGGTGGTCCGTACCAGTTACCCCAACAGGCAGTTGGAACCCTCGTGCCTCCTTCATCCCACCAGGAACACCGAAACAAGACCGGAACACCCAAAGCACCCATCACACTTGCAGATCTACAGAAAAGACTGGATGCATACATTACAAAGTGCAAGCTTCATAGACTCTGTGCAACCCCTCCTGGGAGCCCCCACAAAACACATGCCCCTTTCCCCTAAACCCTATAAACCCAAAATCTCAAGCTGCCCTCAACCCCCCAAAGCCCCCCTCCAAACCCTAAACCCTGAACCCTAAACCCTAAACCCTAAATTAACCCTAAACCCTAAATTAACCGTAAACCCCAAACCCTAACATATAACCCTAAACTCCCCAAAAAGAAGCCCCAAACAAAGCGGCCCCAAGCGTCGAAGACCAAGGGCTGCCGAGCCAAAGCGCCTCGCGGCCAGAGGACGCCCCCAGCCAATCCGAGGGTGGTGGCCCGGCGGCCTCGGGGGGGCTTCTCTCAAAGGCTCCGAAGTACCTACAGAGTAGAAAGTAGGGTTTCCGTAGTAGGAATTACCATTTTGGTGCGGGTACGCGTCCCCCATATAGGGACTTCTAGGACCCTTTGGGTTTTTCTCACCAGAAAGCCCCCGGCCATACATCTCAAGGACATCGGTGAGGGTTTGGGGTTTAAGGTTTCGGGCTGAGGGTTTGGAAGCGTATTCTTGGATTCTAGGAAAGGTTTGGGACCGGGAGGGGGGGGGGGGATGCTTGTGTCAAACAAGAGCGTGAAGAGGTGCGCCTTTCGTTAGCTGGGCCGCTTTGTTCTTCTGGGTTGGGTGGCTTTCGAGGGATTTCGGGGTTGCCGGAGGTCAGGGCTTAGGGACGGTATGAGGCTCAGGGAGCTTCAGGGGTTTAGACTTGATAGTGGTGATATATAGGGTAGGTTGTTTTGGGTGTGTTGGGGGTTTAGGGGTTTAGCGTTTTCAGGTTTTTTGGGGCACCTGCCCCGCTGACTAGGTCGCACTGCAAGGCATACACGTGTGTGCAAGGAGAAATTCGACGCAGTATTGACTTACATTGCCTTCATCAGCCCGCAGACCCCCATGCTGTCCCGATCATGTCATACCAACACAAAACGTTTGCCGGTTGGAGGATTTATCGGGATTTCTTGCCACCTGCCTAGCAGCCCATGTTTAGGGTTTGGGGCACAGGGGCCTGGGAGGGAGGCCTCTAAACACAAATCGCGACTCTTCGCGCCTGGCGGGGTGTAGGCCGGCTCAGCCGCCTGTACGAGTGTTCAGGGAAGCACTCCACGCAACTCTTAAAACCTCAGAGCGCATGGTCCAAACATGTCCAAGCATCCAGATTCGGCGAACTGCACGCTGTTTAAGCTTCTGGGTCCGTTAGGTCCAGCCTTTGCCCAAAGGACAGCAGCACTCAGAAGTGCTAGAAGCCCTGGCGCGTTCCGCACGCGCAGGCGGCGTCTTGAAGAGTGCGACGCGGCGGCCATGGCGAGAGGCTATACTTCAGCAGCTATATGTAATTCTTCATCAGCACAAAAGTTGAGGGCCAGGTCGCATCCGACTTTTACGTTTTATGCAATCCTGAATGTGCCATCACATTCTTAGGCCATGGCCTTTGGGCTGCTATATTCCCGCAGGATGGAAGCCTAAAATATGCCGGAGAAGTGAAGTTCGGCCTAACTTGTTGGATCTTGGACTTGGGGCCTTGTCGCTGAACAGCCTCGGATCGGTCAAGGTTGCTCTTGCGCACAAGGCCAAGGACGGTTTCCCATGGAATGCCTCCGTCCACCCTCGAATTGAACGTTGCCCTTTCCCGCACCTTTAGCAGAGACCCCAAACCCCTACAAGATTGAAGTAAGAAGCCCAGGAACCCAAACCGACAACCCTGAACCCCTCCTAAACCCTAGACCCTAAACCCCAAATTACTAAACCCTGCCAGCACCCCCCATCTACCCTTTAGCAAAGGGACTTATATGCCCTTCTATTATGGTTAAAGGGTAGTTGGGGGCTGCTGGTGAACCCTAAACCCTAAACCCTAAACCCTAAACCCTAAACCCTAAACCCTAAACCCTGAACCCTGAACCCTGAACACTATAAACTCTAAACCCTAAACCCTAAACCCTAAACCCTAAACCCCGAACCACCCCGAACCCGCCTCGCCTTTTTTTGGGGCGCCCCCCCGAAGAAGCCCTTCTGAAAGCCCCGGGCCTCCCCGTAGCCTCCCAGCAAGGAGCCCCCGAGTCGAAGCACCCCTCCGGCCTTGAACGAGCGCGTGGCAGCTGCTCTTACATAGGAATGCATGATATAGGATCAATATATATATATATATATATTCTATATATATATATACACCCATATTTCAGTACGTCCACAGATGTATGTATGTGTAGATTTATGTACTTAAATTTGTCAATGAATTATGTATATATATATATATATAGTATCTAGATTGGGTTGTATCTGTCTTTCTAGGGGGGTTCCCATAAGTTCAGGATTGAAACGTACTTTGGGTATATGGAGGGGACCCCCTAATTTGAGGCAATCCACAAGTGGCGCTTCTGCAGATGTCAGCCCCCCGATATACAACGTGTGGCGCAGCAGCGGTACCATCTGGCTTTCACTGGCCCCGCTGACAACAACAACCATACATGTGTGTGTTTAGAAAGTTCGTGTCTCCCTTGAAGCACTCAGAGGAACAGAAGCTGAAAATTGGTGGTGGGGAAGGGGGGGGTGTGTGCGTATGATGTATTCCCGCAATTTCAAAATGTTGTTCCGTAGCAGGTGCCTAGGTTCAAGGGAGCTATGGGTTTCGGGTTTCCAATCGTTAAGACTTATGAGGTACTGTTACCTTGGATGGAAGGCCCATGCCTCTTCTTAAGCCTCCCAATACGCCGGATGTCTGTCAGCAACCATCAGCTGGGCCCCAAGCGCCCAGTGTGCGGCCAGGTCCTGGGCAAATTCTCCTGCGCAGCCAATGCGAAAACGTGTAACCCTGTCCCCCTGGTAGCCCCAAGCCTCTAGTTGGGGGCTTGAAGAACCCTACGGGTTTAAAATCAGGGTTGAGGGGTTCTGAAGGTCGAGCCGCAAAACTCAAACCCATGCATGCAAACTTCAAAACGCCAGCTGAACCCCCCCCCCCCAGGCCCTAATCCGTCAACAACAAGAGCCCCAGCCAGGGCATTGTTACCCACGATTCCCCCTCATAAGAAGAAACACCCCCCCCCCCCCCCCCCGAACCATGTACAAATTTCAAGTGTGGGCACCCCGTTTTTGAAGCGCCTTCAGATGGCTTCTTTGCCCGCGGTGTTGGGAGGCCGCTTCGGGTTTGGGTTAAGGCACTTTTCGGAAGCAACTGCCCTTAGCCCACTACAGCCTCTCGGACTTTGGTTCACACAGCGGGTTCTGTGGATGAAGAACTCGATTCTTCACTGCCGTTAAGTGGGCTGTGCGTGTTGCTGAGGGCAGCGCTTGATCTCCGCCGCCGGGGCGGCGACGAGGATCTTCCTCACATGGCCCCAGCAACATACCCAAGGTCAACATACCCAAGGTCTGGGGGTGTGTGTGTTGTTTCTTCTTCCCACGCTGCTTGAAACCTTCAGACAAGAAAAAACTTCAACCCAGGGCTTCGGTGAACCTGGACCCGGTCTCCGAGAGCGGCCCCAAGGGGTTTGGAGTCATTTGGAGTTCCGAGCCTCTGAAACCCCCACAAAATTCCGAGATCCCCGATGGCTCTACTTTCCTTACGGGTAGAATCCCTTCAAGGGCCTTCTCTACTAAGAAATACTAAGAACCAATGAGTAGGAGCATCTTTCGGTCCAAGTGTCTGGGCTGCGTGTGCTGCCACAACCTCAGCAGGCAGATCTCTGAAGATGCGGAGGTTTGTCCAAACCCTCGAATCCCGAACATTTCTCCTGACTCCACAAGAAGAACTCCCGCAAGAGAGCGGCTTGCAGGGTTTTTTGGTGGGGCGGGGGGGGGGGGGGGGGGGGGGCTGCTGCTTGCATGATCTGAGGGGCGTCGAAAGGTTTTTAGGGCTTGTTTTTGTAGTAGAGTAGGGCGAAGGCCCGGCGAAGGCTCATAGGCAGCCCAGGTTGCCGCATGCGGACCCTCGGAGCTGTCAACTCCCAAAAGCCCCCTAAACCCTATGAGCCCCCTTGTTGAAGCAGGACTTGCTGGCTGCCAAACCCAATAAACCCAATAAACCCAATAAACCCAATAAACCCAATAAAACTCAATAAAACTCAATAAACCCAATAAACCCAATAAACCCATAAACCCAGTAAACCCTGAACACTAAACCCTCCAGCCCGGGCTGTAAGTCGAAGACCCGCTCTCGCAGGGACCGTCTAGTCGGCACATGCGAGAACCTAAGGCGTGGCATGGGGAAATGGGGGAAATCGGCGGCTACCCGCCAATGGCGTGGAGGTCGGGTTGGGGTTCTGGGCTTCAGGGCATGGAATTCTACAGTGGTTCTAGCATGCACAGATCCTGAGATGGCCTTCGTCATGGCATTGAGGACAACTGCTAGTTGTCAAGTCTATTCATGAGGAGGGGCGGCGCACGACAAGCAGCCAAGACAAACTCAACTGGTCTCGAACGCCTCATAGCAGCTGTCACTCAGCTCCCCTGTGCTCCCCTTAATCTGCAATCCCGAAATTGTTGTCTCGTTCATCGGCCATTGGGCATGTCTTCATGAACTGCATACTCCCCAAACAACAGGCAGCTTTTGGTCGCCTGGGCTGTGGACTTCGGACGGCAAGGGAAGCAGGTGAATGGAAGGATTGGCGCACTGCGACGTCCGACTACCAGAAGAACAGATCTTGTAACGCACCGGATGTATCCGCTGTGACACACTTGAAGAGGGCCAGGAAGGGAAGACGATTTTGGGAGCCACTTTTTTTAGAATAACATAGCACCTACACCCTTTAATGATCTCAAAGGTCGTTCCTTCTTTCCGGTAACTCTTCTTCCATGGTCCGCATCCAGGAAACAAAAAAGGTACCCCGGTTTCTTGTTGAACCCTAAACCTAAATCCTAGATCCTACAAAGCCGAATAATGAAATCATATAATATAATATAATATAATATAATATAATATAATATAATATAATATAATATATAGGTTCCCCATGGTTTCCCCCCTCCCTCCCCCCCAGCTCAAGAAGGCCAAGAAGCCAGGGCTCATCCCCAAGCACCTCGCAAAGGAGTCTTTTCGGAAGACTTTCGGGGATTCGGAGAATCCATGGTCTTGTATGAGGTTCAGGGTTTATAGAGGGTTTAGAGGGTATTAGAGGGTTTGAAGGGTTTATAGGGTTTCGGGTTTTTAAGGTTTAGGGTTGCGGAGACTGCAGGCCCATCTAAAGGTGTACCTGAGGCGACTTGTTATGCACATTGATGTACGGAGGTATTCCATTGCTTTGAGCCCGACAGTTCCTGGGGCTGGGCTCGGGATTTAAGATTCAAGTGCTTCGGCTGGTGGTGAAAGGTTTGAGTGGTTGAGTGCCCACTTAGATTGGTGCAGGTGCTGTCGACCCTCATGCTTCCGAAAAACTGACCTTTTTTATGCATCATGGGTTTGCGCCCTAGCTGCTGTTGGTGTCGGCCATCGACCCGATACTGCCGATCAGGTCTGAGGCAACGTGCTTTGCATGTGAGGCTGATACGACACTCGGCCAAGCACAAAAACCCCCAAACTCAACCGTGAGACAGCAAAAAACGGCAGAAACAGATCGATCCTCATCAGTTGGCCAAGCAACTTCGAGAGCTTGAAGATCGACTCTCTTGCACATATAGCGCACTGCATGCGCAAAAAGCCATGTCAGGAATGCTTAGCAGGTGTGACACAATCAAGCACAGCAATCCCTGAAGCAGGTTGGCGTTCCTTTTCAACGCGGGCCAGGTGCAACAATTAAGGCCTCATCCACGGGCAGAGACTTGCCTACGGCTAAAGCCGCCTTGTTCACCTCAAGGAGCTATTTCTAACGTGCGAAAAGCCACCTCGGCTTCCAAAAAGGCCCCCTAAACCCTCAACCCCTCGAGGTTTTTTTTTCTCCAATTGGCCAAGAAGATCCTCGAGACACCCCGAAACCGGAGGAATCCACAAAACCTCCGACAGCCGGGGCCTCGATGCCCGGCATTTTCTCGGGCAGGCTGTCCGGCCTGGGAAGGCTCTCCGAGGGAAGGAGCTTAAGAGAGGGTGTTTGTTTTTGAGGTCTTGGGGCTTAGGATGCTACCCGAAACGTGTTTTGAGTAGGGTCGAGAAAGACGGCCTCGGCGTGCTTTGGTCAGTTCGAGCTAGCGACAAAATACCCTCGCTTCATTTGTCGTGAAAGGCTGCTCTTGAGCACCTCTCGAATCCCCCTCGCAAGCCCACACTACCCCCGCCTGCAACACGCCTTTTTGTGTATCTTGTTCCAGGAAAAGACACAAGGAAAGGAGCGCAGCAACGCCAAAGATGCGCGGGGCCCTGAAACAGGTGCAACCTCATGAGCCCTCGTAACACCGGCATCCCAGGATTGGAGATCCCATGTTCTGAGCCCTCACTGGACCCTAAACCCTAAACCCTAAACACCGGAGAGCGCCTGGTTCCGGCAACTCTAAACCCTAGCGTTCCCAACTCTAAATTCAAACAGCCTCGACTCGAAGCCCATGACAATGTTGAAATCCTAGAAATCCTTACTAAAACACCCCACAGCCCTAGGTGTGTTTTGGGGTTTCAGGGCCCGAAAACAGCCGACCCTCCCTCCCTCCCCCCCCCCCCCCCGCTGGCTCGGCTTAGCAGCTCGTGGTCGGGGGGCGCCGGGGGAGGTGGCGGTGCGCCCTTGGAGACAAGTTTTTTACGGTTTAGGGTTTAGGGTCTTTGCAGACTGCAATTTGCAGAGGGTTCCAAGGGTTCCCCCAATAAAGGTCACCCATTTTGAACGACCACCCTTAAAAATCTGGAAAGCCCCTGCAAGACGTTTCTTCCTTCGGGCTTGCAGAGCTCTCCAGGCAGAGAGGTATCAGAGTTGGAAATTGATGGATGTGCTTTTTGTTTGGCTTCGGGGCTTGGCTCGAAGGAGTTCTTCGGCTCAAAGGGGGCTCGCAAAGGGCACAGGACTTTGAGTTCGAAGGGTCTACCCTGCACCGTAGACCCTAAACCCTGCACCCTAAACCCTAAACGCTAGGGCGGCTCACGCCGGCCAGATTTCACGAAAGAATACGTGCTTTTAAACCCTAAACCCTAACCCAAAACCCTAAACCCTTTTTTCCAAGAGACTTCGCCCGCCTCGATAACATCCCCAAACCCTAACCCTAAACCCTAAACCCTAAACCCTAAACCCTAAACCCTAAACCCTAAACCCTAAACCCTAAACCCTAAACCCTAAACCCTAAACCCTAAACCCTAAACCCTAAGCAGTCCCAAAACCCAGCGTCCAAGTGGCCCGTGCAAGCACCGGCGCTACTGGCGGCCTCGGCAAGCGGGTCTGAGTCTCAGAGGGTTTTGGGACAGGCTGCATGATGCCCACGTGGTCCATATCTCTCTCCTAAACCCTAAACCCTAAACCCTAAACCCTAAACCCTAAACAGCCCTAAACCCTAAACCCTAAACCCGAACCCCTAAAGCCTCAACCAGCCAGTACATTGCGGCGCGAGCTTGGGAACGGGGAAGGAATGAGCCCTCCGCAGTCTGGAGATTTCTTTTTTAGCTAAGGAGGCCACGGAAGAGGGATTTCTTGGGGGAGTTTCGGAGTCGGCGTGGGATCAGGGGCGAGGAATCCCGGATTTGGCAAGGTGGGCGACGCAGCTGAGAATGGGATCGAGGGTGCCTCCTTCAGCCCCGGGTGTTTGAATAAGATGTCCAAGCAGCCACACACAAGTCCTTGATTCTAGCCTGGGCGACGTCAGCTACTCAGAGTCCTGAATAGGTCAAAAAAACCAGAAGCCCCACGCGTTCGAACTGCCAATGTCGGAGTCTGAAATCTGCAAAACACTCCCCGCGCTTTCTCCTCATTCCACGAAACTCCCAGTGCCTGGCGAGCGTGTCTACAAGTCTTCCCGAGTGCAGTGGAGGGGGGCTTCCCAGGACAAAATCGCCCTGAAAGGGGGCACGTGCTGTGGGCCTTCATGTTGTCCAGAAACAGCTCCTAGAATTCTGGGACTTTGAGCGTGGGGGGGGGGGGGGGTGGGCCTCCCCCCCCCCTTGCTACTAAGTAGAGCAACCAAAAACCATGCTCTTGAGAAGCCTCCCCCCCTGTGCTGTGCGGACGCAAGGTGAGACGTGAGAGGGGCGGAGTCTTGGACTTTCCCCCCGTTGTGGCTTCCTACAAAACAACATCTCCCTCTCCTTTCCAGTCTCTTCCCACATTCAGTAAGATGCCAAATAGATGCCAAATATGAAACCTTGCACTCTAGGGGTCTAAATAATTAGAATAGGGTCTTGGGGGGGGGGCTATTCTAGTATTAAAGTACATCTATAAAGGGACCATAAGGGAATAATATTTGCAATTGTTCCGACCCCTATATTCATAACACAGCCCCCGAACCAGGCCCTGAAGGCCCATATAGACATTGATCATGCTAACTCGAAGCCCAAGGCTAGGAAGCCGAGGTCCACGGTGGGCAGCTGAATCCTAGAAGTAGTCACAAGCGCTGAGATACTTTTGCAGCCCTAAACCCTAAACCCTAAGCCCTAAGCCCTAGGCCCTAAGCCCTAAACCCTAAACCCTGGTGCAAATGTAAGACTCACACACAAGCTTCAACACCCCTGATGCCCGTGAGGGAGATGGCTGCGAGAGGGGGTATATCCTCTTTGACTGCAGCAAACGCGGCCAGAGGCAACCGAGCGAGGCAAACAGGAGACTGGTTTGGGGGAGTGCCTCTTACAAGTATACATTAATATTAATATTAATAGTAATTTTAATCTCAATATAAATATAAATAAATAAATAAATATATGTATATATATATAGATTTATTTATTTATTTATAGGTACTCATGCACCTACAAACATGCATGCATTGTATGTATGCATGTACGTGTAAATAGTTGTGCGAGTAGATGAGAAAATATGTATTAGCAAGGCTCTGTACAGTAGACTGGCTGCTTTGCAAAAAGTTGAGGTATTCACAGCAGGCCCTATTGTGAGGCGAGTCCTCTCATGAGCTTCGTGTTTAGGGCAGTCGAGGGTGGCTGTCTTGAAATTCTGCGCGCTGGCCAGCTGCAGCCAGAAACTCCCAAATCGCAGCCGTCGAAGCAAAGGCACATGGCAACTGGGTGCCAGCCTTTCATGCATGCATACCAGGCGCGAGGGTTCTCCAATCAGAGACGTGAGGGCCAAGAGGGGGCTCGAACGCACATCTTACGCATCTCCAGCCTAAAGAACACAGCCCCTTCTGACCCCCCTAAACCCTTGCAGCCCTAAAAGGGGTAGGGGACGTCAAAAGCCCCCCACCCTAAACCCTACACTCGAAAACCCGAAACCCCCCCCCAAGCCCTAACCCTCCTGGCCCTGATGTGTCGACCGCAGGGAAGGCAAAGAGTGGCTCGACTGTAGGACCTTGGCACTGAAGAGGTCGTTCTTCATCCTCAGAGAGCAGGGGATCTTCTTTTGGGGGGGCAGTCTTTGGGAACCTTGAGGTCTATCTCTCTCTACGAAGCCCGGTTTGGGCTTTATAGGGGTTTAGAGGGTTTAGGGCGGTTGAATTGGGGGGGCTCAGCCTATGCACTTCTTGCTATTCGCCTTTTGGGGCATGCCTCTTTGTGGGGTACTGCATGCCCTATAGACCCTAAACCCTAAACCCTAAACCCTAAACCCTAAACCCTAACCCTAAACCCCAAAACCCCGGACCCAAGGGGCGCAACTTCTTCTCCTTCGTCTCGCCTCTCTGCAGCCGAGCCTCAAGGAGCCCAGCTTCTCCTCCAAGCTCTTGGAGTCAAACTTCGACTGAATCCGCTGCCTCAAGATCTCGTTCTTCACCTGCGGAGGTTGAGAGTTTAGGGTTTAGGGGTGTGGCACGGGCTCTCTGCCAGCAGTGCTCAGCGCTCCCTTTGCTTTCCGAGGCCGCGGCACATGTGGCCGAACCCCCAGAGCATGCACACACTCAGGGTTTAGGGTTTAGGGTTTAGGGTTTAGGGTTTAGGGTTTAGGGTTTAGGGGCCCTTTGCGTTGCCAGTGTGGTCCCCAATCTTCGAGCTGGGACCACATGAAGCCTAAAGGGTTTACCACCCTTCTTACCTGAACAGGAGTTGTAGTAGTATAGGGTGTATGACCCCAATTTCGGTGTTCATGGAAAAGGGTTTAGTAAGGGCATTTCGGGGCCTGAACCCCCACTGAGGATCTCTTAGCTGGTCTTTGGAACCTGTAGAAACTATACTTCTGGTTTACTGGGCCTGTTTTCCTTTAAAGGAGAGAACGGACTAGAAGCACGGCACCTTCTCAAGAGCCGTCCAGGTTTGGGACCCCTAAACTCTAAACCCTAAACCCTAAACCCTCCCGGCCTGCTCCCGGGCCTTGTAGGCCTCGGCCTGAGCGGCTCGCCGCAGCTCCCACCTGAGTTGTTTTTTCTTCCAGTAGGGCAAGTTTAGGATGTGTTGAGAGGGCTTAATTGGGCATTTCCCAAGATAGGGGCACCCCAGTATTGCCCAAGTTTTAATAGAATCCCCTTACAAGGGACCCCCAAAAGGGTACCCTTTTTGGGGGGTTCCTTTGGGCAGATTGTATTCTGTTTGGGGTACAAAAGGGGTACCCATATTTGGGAAATACCCCAACCCCATACACCCCCATGTACCAACTACCCGGCTTCTCTCCAATGTGGGTACACCCCTAAACAAGGGGTCCCCCTCGTATGCCCCAAAATCGTACTCTTATTATACTATAGATGAAGAGTATCCCGAGTTCGGAAAGCCCATGTTCCAACGCACAAGGCACATGCGCTGGCGCTCCGCGTTGAGCTGATCGATCTTGTCATCCTGGTGGGGCCCCAAGGCACCAAAGCTACCACCCGGGCCCTTGCCCTCAACAAAAGAGAGGTCCCAGGTATTTGGTGCTTTAGCAAGCCGCCCACTTGTTGAAAACCAAACCATCTTCTATATCTTCTTAGGAAACTCCCAGAATTAGTGCCGACTGCTCCTGATACAGTCCAATGGCTGTATGATCGTCGCTGCCTGCTTGTCTGGAGAAGGAAAGCAGCGCAGTTCACCTCCAATGCAAGGACATTTTTTTCACAGAACTGAAGTCACTAGCCTCTGAACTACTCAGCGCTGTACAAACCGCTCACTTGAGGGCGTCGACCCTCGCAGTCATGGCAAGTCACATTTGTGCTGCCGCGACTGGAGCCCGGAAAGACGGAATTGCCCAAGGATCCAGTACAAGCTTAGGGATGTATAATTAAGGGCTTTTCGGGTTTGATAGGGCTTATAGAGGTTACTGATGCATCTCATGGGCCAGCAGATGACCACAAAAATCGGCTCCGAGATTCGAAGCTCTGGTGCAACCTCGAGGGATCACATGGGCTGGGGTGAGACAGCTATTTTGCGCAAAGTCTGTTACTTGTGTGCGCAAGCAAGATGACACATGAATGCTATATTTGGAGAGGTGCCAGGGATGCCCCGGAGAACTCCGAGCGTCCCTCTAAAGGTTCCTAGCGCCAGGCGGATCCCTTCATTAATTGGTATGCATGTCCTTCGTTTCCGACGTCATTCTCACTTGTCCCTGCGAGGTCACCGAGGTCCTGCAGCACTGCTAAGCTACCCTTCTCGAGGAACTTGCGGTTGAGTCTATCCACGTGGTCTGTGAGGAAGTTCATCTGCCTCAGAAGCATCTGTAGGTCGTAACTTCTTGCCTGCCCCTTCAACCGGGCAACTCCCCTGATGAGCTCGTCCATGGTAAGGTCCCCATCTTTGTCAGCGTCGAGGATGAGATCGTAGAGGCCATCCCCATCGGCTGCGTCCAGGTCCATGGACCCAAGCCATAACCTGATACTTCTCTGCAAGAACCATAATATGAGGAATAACAAAAAGGTGTTCAACAGTTCAACCTTTATAGAACTCTTCTAGTTGCTTGTATAGTAAGTATAAGGAAAGGCGAAGAGCGTTTAAAGCTTTCAACTCTTGGCCAAGGCAAGCAACTGTACAGCAGGATGGCTTACAAGAGCACGCCACTCCTCCCGACTTACGAGGCCGTCTTGATCTTCATCAGCTTCTAGAAACAGCTGTCGCATTTTCATCTCGTGGAGATTCGAAGAGCGCTCTTTTTGCCTCATCATGATTTGGTTGTCTGAGGATGCTACTTTGAAGGTCTCCTGGATGAAGACGCCATTGATCACCCCCACAACTGCAAAGCCAATGATCAGCTTGTGCAGAACGCAAAGCAACATGAACCATTCTGAAACTTTTTCGGACAAGAGCCTACATACAGGTGGCCAGTTACCCAGCGTTATTTCGAACATTGAAAGCATTGAGCGAGAAAACG